GTTTTGTGTAACAGCCACGGTACTGCAGAAACAAATGTGTGCAAAAAGAGGGACTAACTTCCCACTAGCCAGAAGTCTAGTTTATTTTTTTCTATATGCACATAGTTAAAATTGGTTTGGTGCGGTTGATGGAACTGTGAGAGTGTGATGTACAGTGTTTCCAGGGCTGTAGCTGGGAGGAGTGAGGAGTCCTCTGTTCTGTAACTGATGAGTTTCATCAGCAACCATTTTCTTAGAACGCAGAATTACGGTTCATCAGTGTTGATTGCATTTTAACTGGAAAACAATAATCAGTTGATAGGAACCCTCTCTCACTTCAACTTGTGGCATTTGAAACCATAAGCAGCCGCAGTGAAACAAATGGAATAGGCAAATAAGGCCTTCAGTCTGAAAGTGCATTTTATCTTACTATAGTCAAAGTTGCTGTTGGAGCATAACCCTTGGCTCCTGCCCAAGTACTTCATGAACATAATTGCAAAGCCACGCGTTCAGCAGAAATTTATCTTCAAGCTGGGTAGCAGTGTGGTGGTCTAAGAGTTTTTGGTTCAAAACCACCCCAGCAGCCTGTGAAACCCCAGTGTCAGATGTTTCCCAAGTTGAATGACTTCCTAGTTCAGCTTGTGCCTTTGACCTGTTGGAAAGTTTTTTGCTTAAGCTCTGTACCAGATGCTCAGGACACTGTTCAGAGCACTCTAGGCTGGCATGACTCTCTGGGTCTCAGACACAGGAACTTGCTGCACAGCGAGTAACCTGTTGCCCTGTGGAATTGGCCTCTGTGCATCTGCTTGTTGCTGGAGTACATAAAGGACGGACAGGTGGCTCTCATGTGTCCCCCCGTGGCTCCTCTCAGCCCCTGAGGGGGAGGTCAACCCAGCCATGCCTGTTGTGGGCAGGGTGGTTCCTGGTGGTTGCTCTGTGTGTGTGTGTGTGTGTGCATGAGCCATTGCTCTGTGCAAACCCTTCTGTATCGGCTCGTTCACTACAGAAGGGGCCGTTTTTAAATGAGTATTGAATGAGCAGTGTAAGCAATATGTCACATTTTGTACAGGAGTGTGGTTGGGCTGCACATCACAACAAGGACCACAGACAGCTGTGTTTGTGTGCTGGGGAAGAGATGGGAATGAAATGTCTTTCCAAGAACTGCCCGTGTTCCTTTTTTTTTTTTTCCCCCTCATCCCTCTCCCTTCTCTGTTTTAAAAACCAGAGCTGAGAGAAGTGTTTCCTGGGGTTTACTTTTTTTTTTTCTTCTAGGGAAGGAATAAGATGGTCCCTCATGAGTAAATTCTTCATACAAGGCACTGATGTTGGAGCAGCACGGGTTTGTTTCTCTGGGGCAGCAGGACAGTTCTAGTGTACGCTGGGAGCATTCAGGAACCAAAAAGGACCATGTGCATTTTGAGAATGAATGGGAAAGGGAAAATTACATTTTAAGAAAAAAAAATAAGGGTTGAATGTAGTCAGTAGAAGAAGGAAGATGATTAGTACCTGAATGCTGTTCATGGATTTGTTCCATGAAAGAAAGGTTCTTGGAAACAAAGGCAAAAAATGACAGTGGAGAACAAAGCTTTACTAGTATTGAGCAGCAGCTGTTTACAAGAAGTGTTACCACCCCAGTGCTATTCCTAAGGGCTTTGAGGTACTTCTGGAAACGCAGAAAGACGAAGTTTGTTAAAAAGAAACCATTTACATTGCAAGGCTCTCCAGATACAGTGATGCATTTCCTGATGCGACTTTGGAAAATGAAGCGCTGGTAACATGCTGAGTGTTCATGGTGCAGGCAACGTGCAAGGAAGCTGAACTTGCATTTTTATTTATTAGTGGGTGTCTGTAGTGCAATAATGTTCAATAACTGAACGTTGGAATAAATGTCTTGCTAGTTTGTCAACCCTGAGATGTGCATGAAGCATCGTTACCATAATTGGCCTGTATGTAGATGCAAACTTCCTCTGTTGAATTCTTTCAGTTTTAATAAACCTGTTTCCAACTTATTTTAAAAGGAAGGTGGGGGGGCATATTATACTTGGTACATGTTTAATACTGATGTACTGATGATCAGTGTTAAAACAGATTCAAAGTGAACTACAGACTGAAGTGCTCAAACTTGTGACATATGCAGAAAATGTGTCAGCTTAAACTTTTTTTAAAAAAAACATAAAGCTTGTTATCATTTCAGTTTTCAGACCAATGTTTGGAACAAGAATTATTCTTCTGTTTAGGGCTGTGATTTATAGGAGCTTTGCCAGAAACTAGCCAAGATAGCATAGCAGGTTAGTTGTATTTAAAAGTGCCTTATTGTAAGGTATTGTTTGTTTGCTCTGTAATACACACTTTTATCCATAAAATCATAACATAAATGGCAGAATAATTTTTTTTCCCTCAGCAAATCTCTAAGTAGCAGTTTTATGTTATAAGAAGGATAAGTAAAGCTAGCCAGAGATTTATCAAATGTTTCGAATTATAAAATGTCTTTATATGAAATCATGAATCTAAAAAGCAAGAACTGTTTTTTTCTAGAACTGTGGGAATTATTTTATGGTATTTTTCACAATAAAGATATTTATGATGACAAGAAAGCACTGCTGTGTATCTGTCTGCCCTTCTTTGCTCATCCTGCTCTCCAGGTTTGGAGTTAGAGCTGTGCAGAAATGCAGTACAAGGCTGCCAGAGTGCCAGCAGGCAGGGGAGAAGAGGGGGGAGGAGTCATATTCTGTGGTAAGAGAAACTTGAATGTGTAGAAGTCAACTACTGCAATTGTAGAAACCCTGTTGAACGCCAGTTTCACAGTGAGAACAACCAGCCTTTGGAATAATCTCCCCAGGGACATGGTTGGACATGAAGCTTTTCCTGACAGAGTGCTGGGCCATCTTGTCTGGACTGTGCTTTTGCCAAAGAAGGCTGGACCAGATAATCCTGGAGGTCCCTTCCAACCTGGTATCCTATGGTTCTATGACTCTGCAATGTTTCAGAGTGAGGCAGGGAAAAGGGTAAAAGAGAAATGTTTTCAATACTATAACTCTGGCTCATCATCAGCAGTGCACTAATGTCTGGTTCATACATTTTCTGCTAAACTTACAAGCTGATACCAAGAAGAGTTAAGAGCTAGAAAAGACACTATAATAGCAATATGGATATAAATTGTAAAAACCCTTCATTTGAATAGTTCAAATATTACTTTGTTTATTTACTAATTCAAACCATGTGGCAACACTCCACTAATCCAGGATGTGTTTTCTCACCGCTCCTAGGGCAGAGCATGCAGCTTGGAAACAACAAATAAGCTTGGTCTGCCTCTCTTAAGAAAGTTCTCACCCTGCAGCAGGTTCCTAGTTGCTGTTGCTTCCCTGCAAAAACACTTTCTGTAGATTAAAGGCATTTAAGGACTTGCTGCAATTTTTTTGCTTTGGATCTACTAGCAAAGTATTTAATGGCTATTGTATAATACAAAAATGGAGAACAGAAAATAATATTATTTTTTTTCTCCAGTGGCACCTTTTAATATTTTGTACAATATACACAATACATGGGTTTGGCATTAAAAATATATGCTAATGACTCAAAGTGCTGCTTTCAAGAGATCTTTAACAAGTAGTGAATATATTGGTGGGACCCTTCTTGTTCTATAAACCAATGTATAATCTCAAAAAAAAGAGCTTTCTTTGAAAGTAGTATTATGCAGAAAAAATATTGTAAAAATTTTTTTACAAATATATAAAACACTGCAGGAAATTGCATGACACCTTTTACATCTTCAAAAATACCTCCAGCAAATTGCATTTCTAAAAATTATATTCTAATCACTTAAGTAATCTCAAGGAAATAGTATTTAAACAGCTATTTCCTTTTTTAAAGCCTGTAGAAGTAATCCAATTCAAAAAAGAACAGGATGCTACAGAAAACCTGAACACAAAATCAGTGCATAAACTATCCACTTTTTATACTGCATAACAGAAACTTCCCACACAGGTACTCATAAGAGAACTAAGGTTTCTTACAGATGAAGAACCATTAACTTCTGCCTTAAAACAAGCTTTCCAGTGTACACTCCAAGCATGAGAGACCAAGGCAGAGGGATGTGAAATGCTGCTGCAGAGTAAGTATTTTTCTCTAATATGGAATATCAGTTATTTTCTTCTTATGCATGGAATTTATAGTAATGGTGCATATGCATCTGCTAGGTCAATTTTAAGTCCATCTATATGGTATAAAAATACCAAGTTTATGTTCCAGTATTTTTGACCTGCTGGCTGATATTCTGAAGTAACTATGTTAGAGAACAAGCATAACAAAACAGATGCTGCACTGAAATGGGACAGTTAAAGGGAACTGACATGAGAGTTTACTGATTGCTGCTGGTGGGTCACACAGGAAATGCTCCATTGGGTGCTTCATACAAAGAAAATCCCACAAAAGATATTTAAAAAAATGTATGCGACACGTTCAAACTGTTCAAAATGCATAAAGGTAAAACAACAAAGAATACAAAAAGCTGTAAAAAAAATAAAATCTGCATATCTCATGTTCTTAGTAATAGGAATTGAAAAATACCAGCAAGGCATAATTTTAAATACTTGCTCTTCCATTGTAAACAGCCAACATCTGAGGACAATGACAGTACATACAAAATAGGCTTCATTTCTCTTATTGTTTATTCAGTTATTTGCTGGTATGGAAATACTATGCAACTCACTGTAGATTCACCCACTTAGTGCAAATTGCCTTGTCTTTTGTAATTTCAAGCATTTAGACTGAAAGACTGCATGAAGTTGTTCTTACAAGAATTTGTGGTCTCATCCAGTCCAATTTTGAAACCAGCACAGTCTAAACAACAGAGTATATATTTAAGGCACTAGATTTCAGTTTAAGTAATAAATTCCTCCTTTTCAAATATGTGTATTGCAAGAACTTTTCCCTGCAATTTTTGTGGGATCAAAATGTCAGTAGCCCACTAAAGCAACAGTTTTGTGAGTACAGACTTAGAAAATTATAGGAAACACCACTGATAATCAAAAATACTCACATATTTCATTATTTTATTTTCAGTTTTAAACAGGATGATGATAATCAAAACCAAGTAGAAACAGCTTTCAGGTACTGACCTTCTGATGCAATGTGTGCTGGTTGGAAAGCCACCTTAACCAAAGTCATAATGGAATTTTATGACACACTATTTAAGTGACCAAAAGGAGCCTAAGAATCAAAACTTAGTTTTTAAAATTTGTAAGAGTGCAGCAATCCTGCACAATAAATGAAAAGTGTCATTCCTTGTTTTTAGCTTCCAAGTTGACTTGTCTTTGTGTGGTCTAAATTACTAAAGTTATTTTTTGTGTCTTATCTTTGCTACACTGAGATACTTCCTTGTGACCACAGCAGTTCTCCAGGGACAAAACTATAGACATATAACCAAAACTCTTGATGTTTTAATACATAAACTTAATGCATGTAATATGCACAAACCAGTTTTCATGTACATACTTAATGTGTATGTCCTCCCCCAGACTGACAACATATCTTTGAGAAGTTGAACACCACTTTCAACGTATTCTAAAATCCTCTGGGCAAACTGTACTTTAAAGAAGGAAAAGAAAAACAAACTCCACACTGGATAAAAAAAGCCACAACCCCAAGTACCTGTGGATTTCTCAGTTTTGTATTGCATTTAAAATGTTTTAAATAACACTATAAGTTATAAAATATTTGACTTAACATTAAAGAATGTTGCAAATAGTGCCATTGTAACATTTGTAACTCCCCTTCAGTCTTTTCCAGAAGACTCTTGAGTTGTCACCATTGTTGTTCAAGGGCTGTACTAAAGTTCATCATGTTTAAGACCTGTAACCAAAGGGAAAAAGAAATTATAAAAACAAGTTAGATAAAGACAGTTCTGTAAAATGTGAAGAAAGCTCTTTACTTTCCATTTGCTGCTAGTCAGTCATGCAACATGAACTTCACTTTTGGAGCCTTGCTAAAAGTTGAGCATAAGCTTTCACAAAGAATAAAAACCACTAAGAATTCTTTATAAGTGAAAGTGAATTTGTGCCTTGACTCAAGACTTTTAAATATATATCTGCCAAGTTTTTTCTTCAACCTTAAGGGCTGAGAGCATCTTTTTCTTTTGTTTTGTTTCACATTACTCCAAGAAGTCTTAATAGAAGTTCTATAAGTGTGTTGGGGTTTTTTGGTGGTTTTGTTGTTGGTTGTTTGGATTTTTTTCTCATACTATTTAACAAACTCAGTTTAAAACACATTAGTAAATAAATAAGATAAACTCTATTTGTAGCCTAAACCACAATTTAGTCTGGTGCAAAAAGGCTGCATACATGAGCCTGGAGACAACTTAACAGAGACTGAGTTACCTACTGCTTAACAGACATGAGCTTTAGGTTATCTAAGTGACGTCTAAGCTAATATGCTTTATTTAATATTTGTGCCTCAAATGACATGTGACAGTTGTGTTTGAGGTCCAAGAACAGGACACCACGAAACATTCTCTTAGATTCTGGCACGAAACAAAAGATTTTATCCTCTCAGTGTAACTCTTATGTAAAGAAGCATAACACAACCATAAAAACCCACACAATTTCTCTAAGAACAGGGAAAATTACACAAATAAAAGATTTGTGCTTACTGACTGCAATCTTAATTTCAACTATATTAATATTTAATTTTTAAAAGCTAACAGATGAATATGCATGTAAATTACCTTTTTGAAATAACGATGTTAGATTTTTCTTCTCTTTTTCAATTTGCTGTATTAACTTTCGTATCTCAGAGTCGTAGTCAACCCATTCAGGAACTATCCGGGCAGCAGCCTCTAATTTTGGTTCTTTGGTTTGGGGATTGTTGCACTGAAAGTTTAAAACATTAGATGTAAACAAAGCAAATGTGAAAATAACATCTCCTCAGAGAACTTAGCTCAAATAATTTTGTCAGCATTTGCAATGTCAGTCATGCAAGGTCAGTCACTTGGACATTATTATTGAAATTATTATTAAAAAAATTACACTAAAATTGCAAATAAATCCTGTTCAAATAATTCAAATAACTCACAACATATAATTGTAAATACTTTTCCTTTTCCCCCTGCTCCTGACTATATGTATAGCACAGAGATGGCCAGGACAAGACTACTAAGATTTAGACAAAGTTACATGGGGAGATGCAAGATATACATTGGCACACTGAGGTTGAATCTGATAAAGGTTTTTTTATTACATTTATGATGCTTCCTCTAGTGTTGTCTAGAAAAATGTATTGACTACTTCCATAAAATAATATAAATGGAAATCTCAGTATCAAGTGATACATGATAATGGGGAATGAAAGAGGGTGGGATGGGGTTTAATAATGAGAGAGGAAGATTTTCTCTTTCTGTTTCTATTCCCAAAGAAAGTACACTTTCTTCTTTCTAGACATGGATAATCCCCTGAACATTACACTTTTTAAGCTTTGCTTTATCTCCTGTTTATAGTGATGAAATAGACAAAGAAACCATAATAATATTAAGTCCTATAATCATCGAGTTCTGGAGGAACCTTCTATGTAGGGAGTGCAACAGCAGCACACAATGCCCAGAGCGTTAACAGTAGTTCATCACAGCTCTAGAAACCAGGCTGAGTATGGAAAAATTATTAGGAAAATACATGTATGGGTGTGAAAAGCCTCAATCTTGTCCAGTTAAGAGACAGCAACACTTAATTTTTTGGTACAGTTTTCAGCTTTAATGTAAGAAATTTGTAAGAGCAACCAGGAGAGGAAAAGGACTGAGTGTTCCAGTGCCTTCCATCAAGGCTGCCTTCATGACATGACATATACTTAAAAGCCACAGAAATCACAGCAAAGTTGTTAATCTATAAAACTAATTCAAGTCAGGATCAACTCACCAAGTCTATTGTTTTAGCCTTTTTCTTGGACTGATCATCACACCAGGTTTCACACCAAAGCCACTCCTGAGGGAGAGACTTAATGGCTACTTGATGAATCATGTTATTGGGGAGATCCTGTACAAATTTTGTAAAATCATAAATTAGCATTGAATGTAATGTAACTGGTTATCAAGCAGCTACTTAAAAGTAGAATCTTTGCCTATTACTCTTACATTTTCTTCTTCTTACATTTCCTTCTCAGTGCTCACCTAGTTCTTTTTCAAGTAGATTCAAAACTTAGTCATGCTCATTTTGATGCCAATTCCACCTCTCATTTACTAAGCAATTTTTTTCTTGTACTTACATCTGTCTTTCCTTAGCTTGACATAACAATACTTCTGTCTGATACTCGTGGTTCAGACTCGTGGTACTGCATGTCATACCATAAATACTGCTAAAGAGCAAAACTTAAACCATCTCTCCATTCCTTAAATTGGAAAAAAATATCCCTCAAAACCCATATAATGCAGGATTACACCACTACTCTAAATTTAGACGACTTCTAGGAAAATGGATTCCAGAAACACGAGCGTGAGAAGGAAAAGCTATTAAACTGCTATTCTAGCTACCTTCCTTACTTTACTTTTTTTTTTTTCTAACCTGTACTATGCAGTCAGGTACTCTCATCAAGAAAACTTCAAATGAAGATCTTGCTGAATGTAGGGAGCAGCATTTACAAATCACAAAAACCTCGGGCAGTCATTCACTGGCCATAGTTAAAATAATAGGTGTAATTGGCAGATCCATTTGTGAGCTCCCTCACATGTGCAAACCCTACATTATACTTTAAAATAAATGTCAGTACTGTGATAAGTATTAGTCACATCTTATTTTGCCAATTCATGTTGCTAAATGTGACAGAATAAAACAGCACATATTGCTGCATTATGAAAGACGTAATTTATTTCAAATATAGACATTCAAATGTAAATTGAGAGCCAAGACATTAAAAAGTGAAATGCTTTAATTTTTGAAAAACTTAAATTCTACAATTTTTTGGAAGATTAAAAAATGGTTTATCACCATCTCAATTTCAAAAGAAGAGAGACTAGTTTTCTGTTGTGCCTCTACGACTTTGTAAATGAAATCACAATTCCTGAGTTACTACAATTCCTGAGTTGTGGATTTACAAATTGTTACATGGGGCAGAAAGTCAGCTGCTAGTGCCAGGATTTAAAGTAAACAGAAGAAAAGAATGATTTAAAAAAAAAAATCTAAACAAAATTACTGTATTGGAAGTCTATTTTTTATGATGTGTAATTTTTCTCCCTAGGAGTTCTATACTTACTCTCCTTGGCATTTAAAAGCACAATTTTCCCTTCCATCTATTTCTCTTTTGTGGTTTATATTAGCATAACCTTAACTACCACCCATGAAGGCAGCAGTGCTGGCAGATGAGCAAAGAGCTGAGATTGCTTCTTCTTTGAGAAGAGCAGTGAGCACTCCAGTCAGGTATTTAAAGTAAAAATAGTAATAAAAAGATCACAATGCATCCTTATCAGTAGATGAAAGCTCTCCAGGACTCAAATACATTGCACTGTAGTTTGTATTTCTAGGAATATTGCTGTATTTTGTGTAAGTAGTAGCAATTAAGACAGAAAGTAGTTCCTATCAATACAGTCAGAAACCAGATTAGTACGAACATATTACTTTGAAATATTTTTCCAACTAATTCCAATTCCTTTCTGCCAAGCTTTAGCTACCTTAACATCTGCTCCTTAAGTGGTTTTTTATTTGATCCAAGAGTTATTATTATAAGAGATATATGCCACCATGTATTAATGCTGTAATTGAAAATATAAGAATCTTAAAATAGAGACACATTTTTAACATTTTGAGAACATTAGATAAATCTCATTACTATTTCTGAAAATCAGCATTATAGTGGAAGCTCTGTACCCAGCTTCTGAATATTTAAAGGTCTTTGTGAAAGACAACTTGCACATATGGGTAAGACTATGTTTGGAGAACATACAGCTACATCCTATCAGGACTAAGTGTGATACAGGGACACCAATTCATTCCATTGTCCAGAAAAAGAGAAGTGAAATATGGGTGTTGCTGTTATGTCAGTCTTTTGCTCTTAACAATTACAGCTAAAGGCTGCTCCAACTCCCTGTGTCCAGTCTACTCTGAGTTTTTAGTGTAGCTCTATTTCCACTTTTCTTTGTCCAGTATTATAAGAACTGCTATTTTCAATTTTTACTTTTATTTCTGGAAAAAAAAAAAAAGCAAGTGGCAATAATGTCCTTATGTAAGAGAGAAATATTTGCTTGCAGAGCAGGGGGGTGGAAAGTAGGCACCGAGAGATGTAGGCTTTGCTACCGTGGGATCCCTTTGCTGCTATAGGCAGGTAAAAACCTTTTGTGCTTTAGGAATTCCACGAGGAAAACAAATAAAGCAGGGACAATCTCACTTATGAAGCCTTCTGCAGTTCACCCAAAGTGAGACATAAATATTATTGACTCTGGCAGAAATGTAATGAGCTGTTTACTATCCATCTTCTATCAATTTAAATAACCTCTATTACAGGAAAAAAGTAATAAATTTAAATATGTTATGTTTCCATGGGATCCACTTACACGCTTGTGACTGCACCCTGATGTACCTCATTTGGGTTTAAAAATTGCTGGAATTACATAAATAAAGACTACAGCCAGCACAGGGTGACGATGTACAGCAACCACCAGAGTGCCTTTGCAGTTAGCTTACAAAAAAAAAAAATTAAATTTACATTGATGAAAAAAAAGAAGAAAAAGGAAAAAGCTCTTCCCAAATAAGAATATAATTACCATTATCAGAATAAAGGTGAACAGCTCTCTATGTTGTTTTTTCCTTATTTTTTTCCACATTAAACAATTATTTAAAACAATAATCATTTAGTGTTCAGTTTTCTGAACTGTGCTCACATGCACAACTTAAAATGTGCTAAAACAGCAGTACATGGCAAACAGTTTTACAATTACATAACATACACATTGAGCTACACAACAATTCCATGCAATTTGAGAAAGATAAAGAAAATAAACCCCAAGTTGCTTAAAGCCATTTATACCTGATCTAGATTTGACAGACTGTTTGGATCTTGACTAAGAGCCTGGTACTGGCCCCGAAGCCTGTCTCCAGCTGCAATCTTTCTGAACGTCTTCAGATCCACAACATATAAGGCACTAAAAAGTTTTAAAAAAAAAAAATTAAGTTGGGGAGTTTCACCTTCTTTTTGATAATATAAATAAAAGTAACAAGAAACTAAAACATGTTCCCATCCTGAAGGAATATTTTTCTTAATTAAGTGGCTAAAGCTACAATAGAAAAGTGAAATCAATATGTCATCAGAATTCATGCCTTATTCATCTCTTGCTGAGAACGACTGGAGGGCAATTGGTTTTGAAAGCCTCGGCGATCAATATCAAGACCCAGATTTCAATTAAATGCACACACTGCACAAAAATATGTTATCCTACCTAATATGGTATTTCCTTTTCCCAAGATGTGATGCCCAGTATCCTGATTTCCAGAAACGGTACCCATCCATTTCCTTCCGGCTGTCACAGAAAGGTGTGTATCCATAGGGAGCTCCATTTAGATCTAGATCTCTGAGTTCTTTCAGGTCACTTCTCACAATCTAAATAAGAATATAGTTATTTCTACAATTTAGTACTGTTTCTAAGGTATGCATATGAGGGTAGGTATTGCAGCAAGTTTCACAAAGTTTTATTTTAGATTAAAAAAAAACCTGAAACACTACGACAGCAGAGTATAGATAAAATATTCCACTAGAAGATATTTACCCAATTATTCTTCAAGTTAAAAAAAGTGTTTATTATCTTATTAACAATGGTCATCTGTGTAACACATTTAATAAGTAAATTAAATAAACCAGGCACAATATTTTTTAATTCATAGATCAGTGTTTCTGGTTGCCCAAGACTAAATTCCTTAATGAAAAAGCATAACTTCTAAACTCTACCAAGCATGTCCCTTTTACAGAATCCTTCCTATTTGTTACCTAACTTGGTATTCCAAAATTATTGCATCATTTGAAAAATCTTTGTATCGAGTGATAAAGTACTTTTAAAAATAGGTTATAATGACATTTTAAAAATGTCCTTTATTTACTGTTCAATCCTTCTCCATCTAATTTATCAGTGGTAAAAAAAAGTTTTAGCTATTTGGGTGTAGAGAGAAATCCTTACAGCTGTGAGGACAGACAACCAGTGTTACCAGATGGTGTATCCAGATGAAACTGCAGAAAGTTGCAGTCTGCATTACTACACCTAAATTCAATTTATTCTCAAGCTTTGGAAAAGGACCAAAATACATTAATACTTGTCCTGACGTTTTTAACAACCTTGTGATAGACTTTTCAATGCCTCATCTCTTGGAGACAGCATTTTGTCTTTCAGTATATTATACAATACTCATTCCTCAGTGAAAGACTGCATACAAATTTAAAATAGAGACAAGATTAATCTTGACAAATTTCAGCCATCTCGAAGTTGTTCAAATGGTCCAAACTAATCCCCTCAGACTCCTTGGACAGTGGAGAAGTCGTCTCACAATCAGTCCAGAGACTGATTCACTCCAATACAGTTTCAGTGAAAGGCCCGTTTAAGATCACACTCACCTCTCCAGGTGCCTTTCTCTCTCCACAGACAATTTAGGACAACTCAGTGTAGTGAGACTCAATGTCCACATGACTAAAGACAAGTGAAATTATTGCATTTCACATTCTGCAACACCACTGGTTCTGTTCATACAGCTGCAGTATTCTTACAAGACCAACGTCTGAATAAATGACCATAGGGGATGAGACTGCATCAATTTAAGGCCATATGAATTCCTCATACATTTATTTATGTACTATTATTTTTTCTTACCTGGTCAGCATCGACAAATATTATTTTATCCACAGCCAAAGGGAAAAGAACATCCAAGAAAAGAATTTTGTAGCCCCAGATAATTCTCTGTTTTTCTGTCTGTTGATAAAGCCAGCGGGGCCACTTATACTGTACTAACTCATAGTTGAAACCATACTTTTTAGCCATGTGAGGAATAACATCCTAGAAGAAAAACAAAAAAAACCTATTTGGTGCACATAAATGGGACACAGAAGGATTCAAAAGGAAAAAGACTGACTGGTGCAAAACAGTTGTAGCTGTATTGGCCTCACTGACTACACAGTTTATTATGAAATGTTTCTTTCTGAAATGTTTCTTTAGTTTTAGCAGTATCCTCGGCTACACCAGTAGTAAAAACATTTTATGCAAGCTCTTGGAGACTAGCAGAAGAGAATAAATTATTATAATTTATCACTGAGCTTTGCATTCCACAAGAGAAGAATCTTATACAGAATACTTTAAAAACTATTAATATTTAAAACTATTAGTATTTAAAACTATTTAATCCACTCAGAGATCATTTTCCACTGTGAAAATTTAATTTGAATTATACAGTTACTCCATTGTAATTTTAAAAAAATTATTTAAAATTTTAAAGAAAAAAAATAATAAAAGAAAGACTTTTCTCCTACCTTAAATGTAGGGGAGAGGTAGTTTTTCAGAAACCAAAATTTAACTGGTGTTTTTGTATGACGTAGGACAGAAAGCATCATAATTCTGTGGAAATATAAGTCTATAATAAACAAACAAATACACACAGGTCATTACATTACAACTGCACTTAAAAAGTGTTAAAACTTTCTAAGTATAATTTTCTTTTACCCAACTTAAGCAGAATTTTCTATCTATTTCTAATTAAAAGCTTTAAAGAGCATGTGTTCAACACTGTTTTGAGATGGACTTATTCTATTCACACTGGCTAAGCAACAGCAGAAGGAACAATTTCAAAAGTGGATTTATTAACAAGTTTTATTCTCAGAGAATGCCTGACAAAATTAGAATAATGATTAATACCTTATATTAACTTATGTAACCATATGTGCATATAGTAAACCCACAGTTTGGACTAAACACAAATAGATACAATTCTAGATACAAGATTATGAAGTCACTTCTGTTACATCTTTATACAGAGAGGCTGAACTTCATCTTTTGTTTGTACTTCACACATGAAAGACAAGGAGAACATTTTTCTATCTTCAAAGAATAATGGTACTTTTGAACATTTTTATGTTGAATCACTTTGTTCTTAAGCAAAGAGTAATATAGTCCTCATTGTATACAACCTTTCTATGTATTGACAATTTATTATTTTTATTTTGTTTAAAAAAATCAGTTTCTTTAAGTTGCTTAGTGCTAGTATGAAAATTTAGTTTCCCTTTTACCTTTCCTTACCTTAAAAAACGTTCATATAAATGGCCTGAAGCAACAGAAAAAATGTTAAGAATATCACTTTTCTTTTCCTTCTCTTCTGTTGGAATTTCTTCTGAAAATCTAAAAATTATTATGAATTATTATATAAAGTAAACATTCAGCAGAAAAAACCATACTAAATTATCATTAAGCTCATAAAGAATCAAAAGTAAGAAAATACACAAAAGAAATACTTATCCTATAGTAACCAACTACACTCCCACTGCACATGCCTACGATACCAAAATCTTTTGGGAGCAACATCTCATACCCAGTCACTCAGGACAAGCAATGGCACGACTGCAGCCTCCAGTTTCAATCAAACAGAACTCAAATTTGACAAGAACTCCACATTTTATCAGAGTAAAAATAATCAGAAATACATGCAGCCATATCATCTTGAGAACTGGTAGTTTTTAAATTAAAACCCAGTTATTTTCCATTGCTCATCCACATGCATTCTACATCAAAACAACCAATCCATGTTCTTGGGGTGAAGAATGCCTGCAGTAGTCCTCATAGGTGGTTGAGCTGACTATATTCCCTAAAATACAGACTGAAAATAACACAAAGATGGTCACACCAAATCAAATCACATATTTAACTCACTACCATCCCAACAGCAAATGGCAAGCCGGAGGAGTAGTAGCCTTTCCCAGAATACCCTCATACCATTCAGTGGTCTGTGATGATAGGATTTCCTGAGTGGTTTTCATAATACTCGCTGAATTCTTCCTTAAATTAATCCAATTACTCTCCCTATAAGCTAACCTATATATTTGAGGTACATTGTCCAGATGTTTTCTATTTCTGCTGCACAGCATTTTTTGCTCATTTTGAATACCAAAGTCTAACAGGACTGGTTTTTCACCATGTATGCCTTCCAGTACACACAGCCAGGATGTAATGGCTGCAGTCTTCCTCAAGCACTGCTTCATTGATCTCAGAACTGCAAAGGCTGCCTTAGCCAAATTTGTTACAGTATGGCCTGACATTGTTGGAAATTCACCTCAGTAGTCTTTTTTTTTTTTTTTTTGAGGTCAGTCATTCTTCACACACTTAGATTGCATGAGTCACTCCTATTAACTTTTCTTCTGGTTACATCCCTTTTTAAAGTATCCTTTAGAAAGTAAAAAAGAAGTATCCCTCATAATCTTTAAGAACAAATGAGACAAGTCTCAGATCTCCAACATATTCAAAAGAGTTCATATCACTCCACTAATATAATGCTGAAATCCTAAAGGCTGCAATGTAAGTCATACGAATGATCTTTTTGAGAAAGATTACTCACATTCTTTTCACTCAGCCATGGTTAAGAGCACAGTTGTACCTGTTCAGGACTATAGCAAATGCAGAAGAAAGTCAGTGGAGCAGCGCTGACTGCACTGTATGGCATCTCTAAAGATGGCAACCTCCCAACTAGCATTGAACTTTCACAGGCTAAACAGATTGCAGCTCACAGTCCCAAGCAGCCAGTCTTCCTTCTTCACTTTTTATCTTGTTTCTTATCGTAGTGACAGCAGGACCAAAAGACTCTCAAGGTCTTTATAATGCAACCATCGTGTGAAAAAAAATAAAATCAGGTTTTCATGAAAGGATCTTGAAAATATTGATTAAGAAAAGATCTACAAAAAGGCAGAGATCTTCCGAATTGAACAAGCTGCTGGACTGACCTGTAAGGTCACATGGGAAAAGCAGTCAATTGGGAAAGGGCTGCTCAGTTATGAAAGGACTTGGGCAATGGTATGCATGTGTCCCATGTCAGAGCACACGTGACTTCCTCTAATGAGTAATGTGCTGGTGATATTCTTTTCATTCTGGGATAACAAAGAGGAAGGATATTTGACAAGTCCCTGGATAGCAAGAGGCTGACAGAAAGGGCACGCCTCACATCGTGCCCTTGAGCCACAACTTTGAATCAATGGGAAGAAGAAATAAACTTATTGAGTGAGGGGCTTCAATTGCCCAGCTAAGCTCTAAGCCTGATGCACACTGATGAACCGACCAACTGTGGTAAAAGGCAAGACCTGAAAGACTGGGAGATCTCTGGCCTCGTAACCTTGTTAGAGGAAGTTAAGATCTTGATCACCGCACATACATCCTTTGATGCAGCCAATTAGAAGTGGGAAGTTTGAAAAATTCCTTTATCTAACATCCTTCTGAAAAGAGACACCTTTGTGCAGAAATGTTGGTCCACTTCCTTGACCTGTGACTTCATGAAAAAATTTTTGAGAGTTGTAGTATAGTAGTCTGGGAGGGTTTCTGAATCTAGTCAATATGGGTATAAATTGAAAGAGGGGAAATTTAGGTTAGATATTAGGAAGAAATTCTTTACTGTGAGGGTGATGAGATCCTGCAACAGGCTGCCCAGGGAGGTTGTGGATGCCCCAACCTGGCAGTGTTCAAAGCCACGTTGGATAAGTCCTTGAGCCACTTGATGTAGTGTAAGATGTCCTTGCACATGGGGGGGGGGGTTGGGAATAGGGGATCTTTAGGGTTCCCTCCTACCCATACCATTCTATGATTCTGTGATACTGTACAAGGAAAATCATCTGTGGATAAATGGTGATAAACATAACATCAGCAACAGAGACTCAATATAATGTCCAGGTACTTGTGGTACAAGAGGTCTTTTCAAGAGAGATGATAAAGCTGAAACAGAACCCAGCCTTGGATCTACCAAGAGACGTGTGTTAGAGGATTAACTGGGGTCAACTTTTTACTAGATAAAGTAGAACTGCTATGCCTTCTCTTTATTTTCATTAACAGTCTGCACCTGAGAACCATTGCCAAAGCTACTGAAAATGCAAGAAAACCTTTTAAAACAGCAAATTAGAAATACTACAATGTTATTAGCCTCAAATGTAAAGCTTGAGATGTTTATTGCAATTACTTATAGAACTCAGACTTTAAAGTAAAAGGTATTTTATTGACATATAAAACATTTCTTGAGATTTCATAAATAATGTTTAGCAGCAGACAAGCACCATCGGCCTGCTTTCTGATGTTTATTTTCACGTATCTGAGTACCACATAACTGGCTGGGATTTTCACATTGAGATTGATTCCCTACCCCAAAAAAATAAAAAACCAGTGGGGGAAATGAACAGGAACTAGAAATGCAAAAGAAGGATTAAAAAAAGAAGTAAGGAGAGGTACATGACATTGTAGCTTTTCTTTCCTCTCCTTGTATTTATTATTATAAATCCCTTGAATAGCCTTTTTACATATTACATATCACTATCAAGTAGGAAACACTTACTTGCTGTGAGTAATAATAAACATGTGCTGGAACAGTTAAACTAGAAGCAAATTATGCATTACCTTGTAACTGATTCCAGATTTCCATATTTTCCTGTTCCATCTGTAAGGAGATCTTCATTCATTTTATCAGGCTTTTTCTGTACCTAGTCAGTAAAATAAATGTCTTTGTGTAATTTAGGAAGTTGGTTGATAGTAATTACTACTTCAACTGTGATATCTAACTATGCTGTACTAACTGGCTAGAGCTGGATCAACATCTGGACCAATTTCTACTTCAGTAAAATACTTACTGAACTGCATTGAACTACATACTTTTAAACTATGTACAGAACTTGCTGTATTAAATGGTGATTAATAAATCAAACAGCATGTTCAAGCCCTCTGTACTTCTTTATGCAAACACTAACTACAAGTGTGGGGAACTCTACCTCATTTTCTACACTCATGAGTTCGTGATCCAGCCATTAGCTGGCAGAAGTGTAGCAGGGTGTTGCACCACACAGTGGAACTTACCTGAAGGGAAATTGTCATTCTCATAAGCCCTTCACAAGGAGAAAGTGCCAAATTTGTCACTGAAACATAAGCTCTCCCACACAACTTCAGCAATTTCTGCTGTCTTATCCAGGTGCATAATAAAGCCTCCAAATCAATTTCATTTGCTGCTTTAATTTCCTTGATTAAAATAAACCTAATTGCTTTTGAAAACCAAATAGCTTCTAAAACCCTCAATGTCTGAACATACTCAATTCTAATCATATTAATTGCACATGATCATACTGTCAAGCCAATGCTTACAGATTTCTGTTCCCACTGCATCACGAGTCTTTTTAGCTAATGGTCCTGAAGCCCCATCCTACACATCACTGAAGTGATTCTGCAGTTCAACTGAATGACAGACCTTACATATTCTAGCTATAAGCTTAATACATGCCACCTCTCGCATCAAATAATTTTCATATTTTAACCCAAATGGCACCCTTTTATCCTTTTTCTGTGGTTTAAAGGTAGGCTCATCATGTTCCAGAGTTTTACACATTTTCTCTGGGTTCTGGAAACTTTCAGTTACAGGACTGGGGAAGAGACACATGTCTGCGGTTTTAAAAATTCCTCTTGTACTTACATTTGCATTGTTCACTCTCCTTCTCGATGTCTAAAATTAGGATACAACATACCAAGGAAATCTACACAAAATATTATTTACAAAACAGAGGAAAACATACAAGGAAATCTACACAAAATATTATTTACAAAACAGAGGAAAATATATAATACTATGAGGTTCTTTCTCCTGAATATAACTCATGCTTAATTAGCTCTTTTTGATGCAGTTTTAAGAATGGAAGTAACGTAATTTCACTTACACAAATTTGGTAGCTTAGGGTAAAATTCAATACACCTAATTTTAACTTCCACTTTGGTATCTGGACTTCATAAAAAATCCCTCTCTCATCACTGGAGAGAAATGAATGTCTCTAGAGGTGGTCATGTTGCTGGTTTAAATACATATATAAGCTGGGATTAGTAGACCTTTGGACTCTCTCTCATTCTGCTACGCATAGAGGGAATTTAAGTCATCTAGACTACACATTTGGACAACTTGAGCTAGATGAGATAAATCTTATCTATGTTTAACCGCTATTTAACAATCTCCCATGCAATTAGTATAACCTGATTGGATCAAATTAACTACATTAATTTGCACATCCTTCTCTTTAATTGCACAACATCTAAATTATATATTTCAGTATACACCTTTCAATTAAATATAGCCTAAGACATGTAAGCATAAGCCACATTTCATATAAGGAAATGCTGCATACATACTTGAACTTTGATAATTTTGCTTCTGAAGTTGTTTAATACCACAATAATGTCTGTCAGGTCAGCAACAGAATCTGTTCCTTCATGGCTGTGAGGAGAAAAAGAACCCATGCAAAGGTACTGTCTCATTAAAACATGCATTGTTACTTGCATTTAATTAGAGTGTAAGGTTTAGAATTGTTGTTATTTATAGAAACAAAATTTCTTCAGTTTCACCTAACTGTATTTTAACTTCATAAACTTTCTGAGTTTTAAGCATCACTAGACATTGTCCACAGTGGTAGCCCTCGCTTTTTAATCTGGATTTTCACAGGGAAATTTATCAATCAATGAAAAAATGCAGCAACTTGGAGCTGAACATGCTATTATGTATTAAACGGGTATATACTGCATTCAAACACTGAACTAAAATTTATTTTTCAAATATGGAAAATATCTTAGAAATTGCTGTGCAATGGCATTAAATGTACTTTTAAAATAAACCTGCTTTAAAAAGTATAGGGAAAGCTTCATCACAGTGCTAAGATAGTAAAGATTGGCTTTCAACTAGTTAGCTTTGGAAACTGTACCCCTAAAGACAAGGCTGTGCAAGCACCTCATGAACATATGCCCCACTGAACATCAGCTTAAACCATTCAGGCATCTCAAAACTGTACTGCAGTCCACTGAATAACAAGTACAAAAATGTTGCTGTCACTCTGTGATACAGTAAAATAACATAATTCTCAATTTTCCGAGCTTTTATACCTCAATAGCCCATGTATTTTTCCTTCAATCTTTTCTGTCTTTAACAGTACTATGTGGTTTCCTCTTGCTAAGGCTGCGTCTACAAAAAATGGGTTAAAGAAAGTAACCTGCTACCCTTTAGGCATCATTTTTCCCCCTAGAAAACAGAAGTATTTAGATCTTGATTCAATCTCTTTCATACCTCTTACCTAAACATGACAAGATTTTATACAGTTATATGAATTTTCTATTTAATACATTTTTGTGTGCCTATGATCACCTAGTTTCATAGAAATGGCCTATTCTTGCACAAAACAATGTTCAGGATTATCTTGACTTTTTTACTCTGATTTAGTTGTATGTTCACACTTTTAAAATATTGCATTTATGCACACTCAGTCAACAATGATCTTCTTATCACAGGGACCTAAAGCAGTCAACAGGCACAGTTCTGCATTTTAAATAAACTGTGCCATTAAAAAGCTTTAAAATAGTACAACTAGATCCAAGCACAAACTGCTGACAGCCAGCCCAGTGTTCCCATTTTTGCCCTCAGTTTTTACACAACCAGAATCTTCTCTCTTATTCACTGTTACCTCAAAATCTCTATGCTGTGAATTCTGTTGGTAGCTCTGCAGCTCTGATGAAAGAGATGTTTTTTCCAAAATGTTTACAATATTCTCAAAGTGTTTGGTTTGGATGTAAATTTAACAACACTGTTTTGTCTCCCTAAATCTCTTTTGTGGATCCCTCACTGTGGGCTCCATCTTTACTGAGTGCCAACTGCTTCACTCTGCACAGCCCTCAGTTTGATGAATTTCTGTCAGTATGAACAACCTTTTTAAATACAAGCAAAATGTCTCGTACACTGGCAGCACTATAACATATGTAACAAAAACTACTTTATTGTTATATAATTGTTGTACAAAGCTAAACTTCTCTAGCAGACTACTTATGTCACTTTAAAATGTTTCAAAACACTTAGGTGCTTTTAATATAAATACGAATAAGTATCAATATAATATAAATTATAATTTTCCATATGGGGAACAAAAGCATTCAAGTTCAACAAATGGAGACCCTTAAAGAAACAAACAGAAAAACTCCTTGGCCAAATTATAAAAGATATAACTTTCAGCTATGCAGTCTGCATCAAAGTCTAATAAATTATATCTACCTGCCATTTTAAAAAATGAAGTCTTCAGCAGGATTGTATATATATATCTTTAGATATAAACTACTTTCTGCAGCCTTCTCTTGTAATACTTGCTTGTTTTTCCACCAACTTCACAGAATCAAAGTTTCAATAATAAGCAGTGCTCAGACTATTGCTGGGTACAATAATTTTCATTTTCCTAATATTCATAGTAATTTATTAATAACATTGTGACTGCTTCAAAATAATGATCCTTGTTAGAAGCAGTGTTCAAGAAAATAGAGGTAGCTTTTTCAAGCGTTGTGTATTTACAGAAAGTAAAAATAAATTACTTGCATGTCTATTAGATGCAACTACAGGAGAAGCAAATAAGCATTGAGATGTAGAAAGTGCTGTAACTTCAAATTCCTGTATTTCTCCTAAAGCTGCTATTATAATGTACAGGCCTGTGCCTCAAAGAAAACAGATCATCTCACGTTTCAACAGGAGAGGACATTACTAATATATAAGGATGGAAAATATACTGCAATACCTCTTGGCAAAATTCCATCCTATCAAATAGTTGCCTGAGTTCTGATAGCAATTTCATACTAATAATACTGATACCTGTAAAAGAAATACCAAAGATCCTGGTACGGCCTCCCAAACATACTTTTGCAGGTGTACCCTAAGCATGTAATTATTACATGGCATGTAATAATTAAATGAAATAAATGCTACTGTTTAGATTCTTAATCAAGTATTAGTTTTCCTGACTTAGCTGAGCTCAATTAAGCCCATTTGTATTTCTTCTTAGGGAAAATCAGTAATCTTACAAAACAGTAGATGATTTAAGTTTCCTTTGATGCAGCCTAAAATGTAGAATGGTTTTGTTTCATTTTGTTTAATTTTCTAATTCAACTACACCTCACTACATTATTCTTTTAACCATGTCATCTTACATAAATCACTTTTTATATCTTAAGAATTGAATGCTAAATTAGACAAATCATATAGCCACAGTGGGTGGAGATTAAGTGATCTTCTTAGGGTAAAGACTATGCTTTTCTGCTTTTTCAACAGATTGCGAGTGGTTTCTGGGGAAAAAAAAATTGAAAACTGTAAACAAATAGAATGAACCTAACATTCCATTAAGATTTCTCCCTGTAACACTGAAAGTGATGTATTAACTAAATATTCATAACCATAAAGAGGTTAATCAAGTTTTTTAATTTTTTTAATAGTAGCTGATGAATAACAACATACGGAACTATGTATTCCTGAGCTCCAATAAGAAATATTTCATAGGATGTAGGCTTGCTTCAGGTCACAGAATTACACTGAAGGAGAAGAGAGATAAGGGGAAAAAAAAAAAAAGGAACGAAGAACTGAAGTTAAGATAAAACAAAACAATACTGCTCCTCTAGAAGGGATTTGATCTAAAACTTCAAGAGGAAGCCCTCATATGCTACAGATCCGTGCTGTTACATAAAACATGAGAAAAAGATGATTCTTTCAAGGAATAGTTGGAATGACAGCTAGCATATCTTCCTTTATATGAAAATCAACCATGGAAATTACAGATTTAGAAGCCATAGAGATGCCAACTATATGTCATTTACAGGAGTACAACTTTCTTTCCATATACAGAGGTTTCTCCCAAGAGAGGGAAATGTGGTGCACTCAACGTGCAGCCAGGGTCTCGAATTGAAGGGTGCTTCTACATTTTAAGGTGAAGGTGTAAACAAAAATGATTCTTAGATGACTTAGACAACTAAGAAACACTTAGAATTAATTGAAGAAAAAAACTCTAGAAATGAATATAATAATCCTATATAAAAAAAAGATGCCTCCTATCAATAAGTCTACATTCAAAGGCACCCTCAGGACTGAAAAAAAATGATGAGAGGGAAATTTGTGGTGCTTCCTCCAGCTGATAAAGACACTGCTGGAGTGCTAGCAATGCTCCACTTGACATATTCTTGGAATTACATATTCAATATGTTGGGAATGTCAAAATATTAATCAACAAAACTATGAGTGACATTTCTACAGAATTTGGTGTGAACAGTTGTATGATAATGTTAACCATGCATGGAACTAACAGAGCAAGTGTCTGGTAGTTGTGTAACTATAGTAAGAGACCTTGCTCGCATCAAGCCCAGCTGAGCAGTTTAGGCTTATTATGCATTAATATATTCAAATGCCTTCAAGAAAAACCACATGAAGCCATCAAATAACAACTTACACTATCAGGAAATAAGGTATCTCTTACAAACTTCAAATCACCATTTGCATCTTGTTCTTTTTTGTAATGCTATTTTTGCTCATTTTCCTTCAGTATTGTCAGATCTTTTCCAAATACGTTGCACTTTCAGATTCATTTATAAGTGTGTTTCCAAATGATGGATTAATACTTACGAAAAAACCTGATAAATCTCTTCAGATCTTCCTTTACGCAACCTCAGTGTCCAAGCTCCTGGATTTGCTTTCAGCTGAAAATATCCCTATGAAAAAAAGACAGGCACTTCTTCCATCTGCATTTCAGACTCAACCATCTACATACACAGAAATCAATTATCCAACATTTAAACTAGCCCTAAAAGAAATGTGTCAGTGATGCAACCAACTATCACCTTTCCTGCATGTCCATAATAATGTTTTTCAGTGCTCCATTCATTTCTAACTGAATTTGACTTGTATACAAAAAAAATCCATCAAGGACAGCAAGTTAGTGAGCAGTAAAGAAATAAATTACTGAACGGACCCTAAATTGAAAACCTTCTTTGAAACTTAAAATTTTTGTCCTGAACAACTTTCTGTGTCAACACAGCTCCTTTCCATTTTATGAACACTGCAAATAGCTATCACTGTGTGAAAGTCAGGTGGAACAAGCTTTGAAATATGAGGAATCATTAAAAGTTTCATCATGCCAAATATCATCTACTGTTGAAACCGTATTCAGTATTTGTGTAAAAATCAAAGATTTATAGTTTATTAATAATTTTATTCCTTGTGATATAGTATTTACAAAGAACAGAGAACAGTAGATAGGTAAGAGGTCTTATTAATCAAAATCCTTCCCTATCAAATTACCTTAGCCAATAGGAAACAAATCTTTCATTTCAGAAATAACAGGGTCTTCTGCTCTACAGACTGCCAAACCAAAAAATAATTACTTTGCACGATGAGAGGAATTCTGAAGTGTGGATATGTCCCATACAGGCTGTAAGTTTACCTGAAGGGTCTAAAATAAGAGCCTTCTTTTGCCTGGATCATTGTATAACAAAACCGGTTATTTTAACCAGAATGTGAATCATACCTTACATTTGTCAGTGGAATCTCCATCTCAATATAACTACCTCCTACCATCTACTAAAGGTAATTAGGCTCCCAGTTTAGGCACTTCAGGTTAGAGCCTAAAATTAGGCCATAGCCAAACCTATACTAGGATCAGAGGAGGAGCAGGAGGAAAGTTCAGCAAATTAAAGATGGTCTCAACTCCAGGATGTGCCTGTTGCTTTTAGCATTACTAAGCTTGCAACACAGAGAAATGGATTTAAAGAACAAGATGCTCATAAAGAATTCTCACAGAGTGTGCAACTGTAATGACTATTCGTGTACTTAACACTTACGAGGTTGGCCATCACAATAGTATCAACCACGACAGGATTATTCTTTGTGCCCAAAGTGAACTGTAACCCTCGAGGAGGTTGTCCAGTTGTCACATCAAAGCAATGCCCTTCAAGCAATATATATTCCAGTTCATATTCTGCTATAACTGCCCCTTTTACCTATGGAAGGAACATTTCATCATTACATTACGTCATTTAACCGTGTGGGAAAAAGCAACATATTACAGAGGCAAATATGTTGTATGGGATTTACCCCAACTTAATTCAAGAGTCAAAAAACCCCAGAAAGGTCCTTCCAGAAGGAACTTCACTCAATTATAAAACAGGTATCCAAGATTAAGAGGAAGGATCACTGCCTGGAGGTACCTTCTCTCCACTGACTGCTGAGGAAGTTGAGTCATCTCCGCTTTGGTAAGGTAAATCCCAACTTTTATTTTCACAATACACCTTCCAAATACACAGTTCTGGTCAATCAAACACCCCCAATATTCTGCATTAGCTTACTGACCAAAACAAATCTAGTGACTTTGAAGATGAGGGATTAAAATATAATTAAAAGAACTGTGAATTAAATGAGGGTGAAAGACATTTTAACCTACATTAAAGAACAGTCATATATTCAGGTTTATTTGAAGATTTACCTAGGTTAATCCTATTACTACCAAAAATATATATAAAAATAAAAAAGAACTAGGAAGCTACCATAAAGAATCCTTTAATTGCTTTACTTATTTTTGTAAACATAAAGCTTAACATAGCAGGTAAATTGCCTTGACTTGTACTCTGCATTCTGATTTTTTTCTGTTTCATTGGTTTCTTTTAAGGTTTGTCTTTTTTTAAGCAAGAGAAAATGAAAGAAAGACCATGACAATAGAAATGGTAAAATACTGACTAAATAATCAACTACCAAAGAAAATATTTCTGGAGAACAGACACAAAAAAAAAAAATCTCACAGTATTTCCATTTCCCTCTTGAAGTAGAAGGTCCAACACAAGTTTTATAGTGTTTAAAAACTATTACTTACCTCCTGTAAATGAATGTTATCGAGATCACATGAACTGTTTACTGCTTCAACCAGCCAGCTTTCTGGAGTGATCATGTTTAGAGTCAAAAGAGGCGATTCTGGCAATTCTAGGAATTTTGCCACAGGCTCAGAAGGAAGGTGTTTGTTAATCCCATAATTTAATTCTGGTTCCAGAACAAACCGATAGAAGCTGTTGAAAAAGAAGTGTTAGAAAAAATATTTGTACTAAAGCAAAAAGTTCCAAACATGAAGTTCTTCTAAAATACTTTAAAATATAGGGAATGTTTACCAAATTAATGAAGTTTAGAAGCACAGTAGTTCCCTATGCTTTTGGAATACCATCAGACAATACCAACAGGAACTCAAACGGGCTGGTAGATGAACACATCTATTTGCTTTTGATAATTTTTTGCTGTGAAAGTGCATATTTTCCACTAATATTCTAAGGGCTGTGAAGGTGAATAGCCAAGAGGTGCATCTGAACATCTTGACCGTGAACAGCCTCCTATTCTCAGATTCTGTATCACTGAACTAAGCAGAGGGACTAATCTCTATTAAAACAAAAGAGTCTTTTAGAACTGCTCCTGACGCTAGCAGAAGAAAAGACAGAACAGAGGAAAGGCAGTGGTCTCTCTATTCCTCTCCAGCTCTTTACCCCATTTATTCCACAGCTGAAAGTTCTCCCAAGCACAAGAAAAGAGCCAGGCATTAACATCTGCAAAGTGCCCAGCTTTAAAAGTAATCATGACAATGTTCACACAAGATACTCAGAAGACTGATGATTCAGACACTCTTGCAGTCTAAGAGATATGAGTAATTCCTCTCAAACCAAAGAGAAACTAAGGACTTCTGTTTTGTGGGCAAGTGATTAATTCTCCAGCCCACTGGCTAAAGGGCAGGCACTACCACCTACCTCTCTCATAGGGAATTAGTAATAAATTTATTAAAATTAGAGGTAAAATATCTGCCAAAGAGATGGCTGTGCTTAAACATTTCTCCTAGAGGGAAAGGAATCCTCTCTGAGGAATTCATTTCAGTGTAAATGTCTATCACTAAATTAGCAAACCTTGTTTTCTACAGAGAATTGAAAGAAACTTCAATTTATGGTAGTACTTTCAGGATCTAATCTTCTTTCTGAAATACTGCAGACTGTACATTTATTCAGATGAATTTCATTATTAAGAGTACTGAATCTGTCAAATTCATTGCACAGACAGTAGGCTGTAAGAAGGGATCAAGTTATGCAGACCACCTTCCTCTATGAGTTTTCATAGGCATAAAAGACTCTCCACTGATTTCTATGAGGTCTGTTTATTAGAGGTGCATTTGATGGACTGGATCACTTCCCTGTGATCCCATGCTTGACACCTTAGAACAAAATTTTTTCTCTAGACAAATGCAAGCTGCTAAGGTAACATTCAACGAAAAAAGAATCCAGAAACACAGAGCAATGTTATTTTTTTTAAGGGAACATACACTGTTAAGGTTGTTTTCCCAAACTGAGCAAGATCATAGAAGAAAAGCTAGAAACTACTTACCTCTTCAGTGGCAGTTCTGACAGCTTAGATTTGCAATTCAAAAATAACCTGAGCTTCATATTGATAACGTCCTTGAGTACCTACAGAAAAAAAATCTCTTTAAGAAATGGTTCTTGGTAATCACCAAACCTTGAAAATAAGCCAAAGTCATCCTTGTGACGTCCTATAATTTCTCAAGTTTCAGTAGAAATCTCAGATTGCTTAATGTTCTAAATATATCTGTCTATTAAAGGATGTTGTCAGATATTCCAAATAAAGATATGACCTTTTCTAAAACTGCATGATTTAGCACATGCTATTCTTGATAGTCAAAATGTTAATGTTTTCTCCTAGTGATGCTGTTTTACGAAGAGCAGCTGCTCCCATTTTCCAATACTTGAGTAAATTATATTATCACCTTTCTTACATTGTGTTTTCTAGAAGATTTTAAAACACTTGAAGTTCTCTAAGTACAAACACATACCTTTTACTCAATAACTTGTCTTAAAATGGTTACTTTCATTCTTATTAAAATAGTTGTATACAGAAAATTGCTGAATACAGAGAATTATTTTAATATTTAGTTACTTAATAATTTTACAAGTCAACAATACATTAACAATGTATTAAATCATTCAATCAACTTCAAAAAATTTCAGTAAGTTAATACATTTCTACTTTTTTTTTCTCAGTTTCTTCATCTGTTTATTTCTAAAATACTAATGTTATGGATGATTTTACATAAGAACCATAAAATTAGGACAATAGCTTTTTCTTAATTTAATGAGCAATCTGTTTTTTTTAAAGCTAACAATGTTATTAATTTATTTAAAGCACCCAAAAAAACCTTTATCAAGTTATCTTCATTTCTGTGCTTTCTGATACAAAGTGCTTATCTGAAAGTATAAAGCATCTGTGTCTACATTTATGGATATTATTAGAATAGTCAATAAGATATAAAAGCTAAGTTAGAATATTGATACCACTGGGGCTAAAATCGAAAATTATAAGGGCAAATAAATTGGGAACAAAGCAAGACAACGGTCATTGTTAAGTTTCTCTTTTATTATAACTGTATTTTTTCTTTCCTCAGTTCAACCCATGGCTTACACACATTCTTTACTACAGTGCTGTAACTTTACATGGCCCTAGGGACCTGTTCTATTCCTAGTTCCTCATTCCTTTGTGTCACCTGAATACCATCACTGGAAAACTACTGAACAAAAAATAAAGGCTATGGAACAAGTGAAGAACCAAGAAACGGGAACCCAACAGCACTGGAAGCATAAGAAGGGAAAGTATTACGTGATGGAAGTTTAAGACCATTAAAATAGAGGTCCAAGTGACTCAAATATCTATCATTCAGAATAAAAATCATGATATAAATGTATTGGACTTCACCTCTAAACAACACAAACCCCTCATCCCATTATAGCAGGAATGATACACTTCAGCAATCTGCATTGATAGGATGTTGTGTGTAAAATGAAATGATCGTGCAAAAGGCTGAGGTATCATCCTAATTCATCAGCTGACCATGACATTTAGTACAGTAGCAAAAAGAATAACGCCATTCTTAATTAACATTTCAAAGGAATTTAAATAGGAAATGACAAATAAGACAATAATGCATTATTTCTGTGTTTTTCAACAATTCAACTTCTGGAATACTGAATTTGGTTCTGTTATTTAGGTCTTATAAGGACACCAAAAGCCAGGACATAAAGCAACACATGAAAATGGTTATAAGACTGGAAAGCCTCTTTTATAGGATACATGAAGAGTTCAGTCTGTTTACTTTAAATCAGAAAATTCGAATTTAATGTAAATTTAATTCACAGAGCATTTCATACTGTAAAAAGTGGCTGAATTATTTCAGTTTACTAGGTCTGAAAATTATTTAAGAGCAAGTTCTATTGTGCATATGTAGTCACTCTGCAAAACACTTAAGTTACCACAACTCATCTGAAGAGCATTAACTCACTAAACCATGATTATTCAATCAATCACGTGGAATTGTTTGTGAATGTTACCATAATACAATGCATCTAAACTGAAAACAAACTCTTATAATAGAATCTTCAACAGAACTGGCAAAATAATGAGAAGATGAATGCTTACAGCATGGATCTAAATAAAAATCCATAATGCCAAGTCCAAGTCAGGTTACTTACCCACTGGAAAAGCTCAGTAGGAGCTCCAATTTGCACTCAACTACTTGATAATATTTAAATTAGGAATTGATTAAGAAATTATTTCTACTTCAGATACTAATTGATAAAAAGAAGTCCTATGACCCGTGTTTTATAGGAAATCAGACTATATTATCAAAAGGGCTCCTTCCAGGACTCCTTTTACTTAAGGGATGGAATAAGAGTTTCTCTCTGAGGACAGAATGAATCTAGGAAAAAAGGCAAAAGATAACTGACAGGAAAAAAAGAAAAGGTTTGATTTTTCTTTCCACATTTTTAAATTACTGGACACCTACTGGAACAAGAAAAAGAAAGGTAGACAATCCTAAGAGTACGTATAATAATTTTTCAGCTGTTTTTGGTGAACCATGAGTTAAAAACAACACAACTCTTCGATTTTGTCCTCCATTTTAGCAGAAGGAATTTCAATTTTTTTCCACATCACCTTAGAGATCACCTTCCTAACTTCAGAACTAATTAGCCATTCCATATATTCTGCTAGGAACTTATGTGGTCCGATCATGGTTAAGTTATGGCAGGTATTTAAATATTTACTATAGACAGTGCCTGTGCCTTATCTGGAAATACTTGATGCCCAAGGCTGTAACGAAACTTCTGAAAAAGGGAAAACACACATTATATGGAGAGTGCTATCTGCCTCACTCTGGAAAGGATATAGAGCAGTTCTTATGGTACAATCCAGTATATATTTTAAAACCAGACAGAAGCCTTTACTCAGCTCTCATTCATGATCTGACTCATACCATACCTCCATCCTTAAATTGCCAGATTCTCAGACTAAGCAGTAAATTTTAGATTACATTTTACCTATACATATTTACACCCTTCTCAATTTCAATTCCACTTAATCTGAGTAACTTTTTGTTGATATTTAAAAAAAAAAAAACAAAACAAAAGATTTCTCTGTAGAAAGTGACACAGAAAGTAATATAATAGCCTGGTTTCACCACGGTAAAAAAAAAATAAAATCATGAAATGGACATATTCAATGCAGACTGGGCAAGAATCATGTGTTTGCTATGGTAGCTACTACACAAATTTTGCACCATGAATGGTTACCAAAACAATAGACTGGGCACGAATCCAATTATGTTACTCAAAAGAAGAACCTTTAAATACAAATACATTCAGGTGCTTAAAGTTTACAGTATTTAAGTCACCCATATATACAGTAAGAAAGGCATCCATTTAAGAACTTTGAATCTGGGGCTTGCTGTATTTGTATGCCTGTTTTGTCTCAACACCAGGACGTGGTGGCTTTCCAGATAATTATATATATTTTTAATATATAATTTCCAGGTTATTTTTAGTTTTTTAAAAATATTACCAAAAAGTGTCATCTACATTAAAACAGTTCTGATTTGTTTACTTTCAACAGCATTTTATTATTCTCTCCTAAAGGCTGGCTTCTTGAATAAAACTAGAGCTCCTGTGAATCCAGTAGGATCTGGGATAGCTGAACAGCTTGGTTCACCATGGGAGTCATTTGCCCAGGCATGCATGAGGGCACCTGTTGTGCCAGGAGGAATGAAGGCTTCTGGTCTGAACTGCAAGGTTCTTAACATGATTTATACTCCTAATATGAACTTCTGGCTAAATGGAGAGTTTCCAGTCAATTTCAACATGGAAATATTTTCATTTGGTAATACAAGCTTTCATTTTAACTGAGAATAGTGAAATGAAAGATCTCATTCTAGAGAAAAGCTAGTATTTCAGTGTCCTGAAATATCAGAATTTTCACGAATCTTTTAAAACATTTTACTTTGCTTCACTATTATATATGAAGAGAGAGTGGATGCTTCAACCTTTGACAAAAAAGGGTATGAAAATGTGAGGGGAAAAAGTAATATAAGAATTTACAAAACTTGCATAATTACTGAAGAAAAAAGAAGATAAGTTACAGGCTTCAGAACTGTAGCAGACCATAAAGTGAAGAAAAAATTTGCATTTTTATGGGAAACTATAAAGGAACCTGAGGCAGTGATATTCTGCAGTAAGTGAAAAAAGAAAATCATTTTAGCAGCTATGTTTTTAGGCCCATTTCTCTTTCAAAGATCAATAGCTACACACAATGGAAGACCATCTAGAAATACTCAGTAGCATTAATCAACTGAGAAATACCCCTCCAAGAGCTGAAAGGTTTATAGTCCAATCTTCTTATGATGATATAACAGGTCAGATTTAGACCACCTCAACTGAGTACCTTGGAAAACTAAGGTGATCTGGTTTAATAGAATGAAGCATATGTCTCTTAAAAATTTGAGATGGAAGATTCTATTCCTCTGTATTATGTAGACAATCTCCTCCTTTCCTTCTATTCACTATAAAAGTGAGTCCATAAGTGCTCTTTAAGAGGACTGGTGCATGGGGCATATGAACTTCACTTGCAAATACAGTACTCACAATGATGAATTAGGTCACCCCCAACTTTTTTATATGAATTAAAATAACTAAACACATATTTAAAAGAAAAAAAACTAAATTTTGTTTAGCCTTTTATTATACTGTACATGAAAATTAGAACAAGTTTAGTAAAAATTAAGCTACAAATACGTAAATTAAAAAAAATTACCACCATCTTACAATCAATAAATGAGACATCTTCTGTGCTTCTCTTGTCAATGGATCCACAATAGCAATAACATCATAGAATGGTTCATTTTGTTGAGGGTCGACTTTTACTACACTGTTAAAAAAGTATTAAAAATATTCATTAAAAATGAAAACTCTGAACTGAATTTGTGGAAATGACAAGCATTTTTAGGCATGAATTTGTAATATCAGAAGCACTTCAGATTTTACTATTCAAGAAGACACTTCCCTCATTTCAAGCAATAATCATGATTACTCTCTGTGATATCACTAGGGAAGCTAAATGAGAACAGACATTAAAAATTTAGCATTGATCTGCATAGTTCTATACTGGTTATTGATTAGATACATTCCTCACAACAAAATTAATAGAATAAACCATAGTAAAACTTGGAAAAATATGGCCTTTTTGATACTCATCTACAGTTTCCTTCACCAACATCTAGAACCATCAGATGAGACAAGTGCTGGCAGTGCTACAATTTAGAAAAAAGAAAAAGAACCAAGCAGTTGGAAAAATGGCAACTGAGAAGTGTGAAACTTGACAAGATGGATTAGCTTTATGTGTTCCAGAAAATAATTTAGTTTGATAAACTTGATTAGACTAAGTCAGGGAGACGCTATTTAAAGTACTCTAGATTGACAGGAAGGAAATGTTAGTAAACCTCACTTTAAAAAAGACAAAAACCAATGTGCTGTAAATACACAAAAGGGACTGTCTGAATTTGTTTTCCACAAAAGGTATGGTAGCAGCACAGTACTGACTGTTACTAGTCAGTAACTAACTTTGACAAAGGTGTTAGCCTCTTAAAACAGGCTACTACTGATTTTACTCCTGTTTTCAACAACAGGGGCAGCCCACCAAGCACAGCACACTGGAGGACATTTACCAGTAAAACAAGTAGGGATTCCAAAATAACATTTCAAAAATCTGTAGCTTGATCATAGTTCTCGTGTTACCATATGTCCTTTTAAAAAATGTACCTGTCTCTCCAATAAGCTTGCCCCAGCTAAGCTTAATTTAAAACCAGTATCCCCTTACAGAGAGGACAGGATTCACAGATGCTCATCTTGGTACTTCAGGTCTCATTCATCAACAATAACAACAAAAGGTGACAGGGCATATTCACTTTCTAAATGCAGTATTCCAAACACAAGGAGTCAACACACAAGTAAGGATACTAAAGACACATGAGCTTCCCAGGTCTAAATCTGCTGGCTGATGACAGGGGGTTCGCTTTTCCTTAAGGAATTAGCTGCCAGTGAGCCCTATTAATTTGCATTTTAATGTAATCTAGTTGTATTAGCTGTGGTCAAGAATGACACTGCTAAGCCATAAACTGTTATCCAGGTATAAGAACATGTATATCAGTCTTGGCAACAGTAATCAAGATCCACAGACATAAAAAGCTGTGCTAGTTTTCCACATTAACAAAAATTAGTGGAGACTTCTTTTAGTTCTAATCAGTGGAACTCCTTCTAACATCTTAGTAAGTGTATTGACTCCAAGTTTTCTAACTCTGAATCAACCACTCCTATTCACATCAATTGTAATCACTCCTTTTTCAGCAAAGTATAAGGTTGGAAAATCATTAGGTATTACTAATTAATTTATTAAGAAAAAAGTAAAAACACATTATGCTATGGCAGATGAACAGGTTGTTCATACAGACACAGAATCAACAACTTCTTTCCAAACTGGAATGCTTACTCAAGTTTCCAGAGACCTCATGTAGTCATCAGTACATTCTAATTTCTATATGAAAGTACTGTAAATGCATTATCACGACAGACAGAACTTACCTGTGCTGCTCTTTAAGTAATTCAGCATCCTGTCTCGTCTCTGTTTTAGGCAAAGATGACAGCAGGGCATCTATTTTCATAATCAAATCACTGCCACTATATTAAATAAAGCACATATAGTTCTTTTTCATTAGAAAAGGAATAAAACATTTATATTCTAATGTCTGTCTGTCTGTCTGTCTGCATAATATTTAAGAAGCCCATATCCCAAACCTGGACTCTTTAAAGGAATTATCACCTCAGTATTTGTAGCTCTGAGGACTAAAACCTTTAGCATGACAATGCCCAAGAACCACTACAGCCTTAGAGCTTGTGAACTGCACACTTAATTTTAACTGATGCAAAATTTGCATAATTATAATTCAGCCACACAGTTTCGATGCTACAATCTGCTGACATTTATAACTCTTTATTCCTTCTTTTTCTTATTTTTTTTTCAGTGTCACTAAGTCACAATATTTGTCTGAATGTTTTGCTTCTCACTACTTGTCTCCTGGATATCTAACTCTTGCTGATTTTTTTTTTCTGGTAGTGATTCTTTCAGTTGTGCCAGTCCTTCCAGATAACAGAAATGATACTCAGACTTAAAAGCCAACAGATATTGTAAAAATAATATAATTTTTCTCTCTTCTTTGTACATCATCTGGATCCTTAGACTAAAAGATGTCTAGAACTCATCTCTACATGTGTGAATGTTGTCTGCACACATGAGATGAGGTGAGTTGGAGAGGATGTGATTTTTTGGACACACAGGGATCTCTTATGCCTTAACCTCATCACATATATGTGCGATGACAAGAGAGTGCACTTCTTTTGAGTAACACAGGATGCCTTTTATTCTCCTCTGTGCTGTAACAATGAGGCAACAAAGAGGCTGTCACCAGCAGGATGACACAGGCAGTTGAAAACCAAAATACACAGTTTATATATATAGTGGAAAACTATGTTAAATAGCATAATCAGCCAAGCATAAAGGTGATACAGAATTTAGCAGATGTGTAATTTCTTCTGGAAAACGGGGTAAAGGCTGGAGTAGATAAGTATATTAAGTCTGTCAGGGAAATGCTAACCAGGCAATGAAGGACAGACAAACCTGTCTGCACAGAAGTATTCAAATGCTAAGTAAGAGGATAGCAAATATACAGCATTCAAACAACAAACACTTTAAGTGCATGTAGAGTGTATATATATAGCATGGAGAGTACTATGACTATATACTTGAACCTTTGTTCATATTTTCCCATGCAAAAAGATAATTAATTTGTCACAGGCAATAAACAAGACAGTACATCATAAAGCCTCAAAATGCAAGAGAATTTTACCTTTTACTGCTGTTTCCCATCTCTTTGACAAGAGCTTTAATCTTCTCCGCAGAGGTACTGTATGTTATCTTTTCTAACAAATCAAAGTCTTCTGCATAGAATTCATTTTCATCTAAAGGACCCAGTACCTTAGATAGAGAAAAAAATGTCATTAAGTGTGGAATGTCCCAATACTGTTCCATTTGTAAGTAAAAATACATTAATATTTTAAATGAATGCACAATATTCAACCCCCATCCCCATACACTTCAATATTAGTAACTATAAAACACTAAACTTTATAGTAACCATGCAGAATTAGGTTTTTACAGTTATGTGATTACAGTTAATTTTCAATCACAAAAAATACTATCTTTCATTATACGTCCCTTTGTAAAGGAACACACTACTTAGAAATAACAACTCTAAGGTTAAGAAGAAGTTCTGTTAGGTACATTAATTTAAACTCAAATTACTGTCTGTCTACTACACTATTTAGTTGTTTAATTCTGTGAGCACAATCTTAACTTCTCAAGGCTTTCTATCCATTCTAAGCAGAATGTACAGAAAGAAAGAAAAGAGTAAAGGATAAGAAATGCAGAATAAGAGACAAGATATAGAACTACTATGTTATTTTGGTGTCTGAAGGAAAAGAAGGTGCCTTGAAGTGCCAGAAAATAGCTTTGAGGATGCTGTTTGGATTTTCTACTCAACTTCCACCAAGCTAAATGGACCCAAGTCACCTTACACAGTGCCCAGGATGTAGAATGTCATGATGTAAGTTTGGCGTTGAACGCCTCTCTCCCAAAATTCAACTGCTTCCTGAAAATGAGAGGTTATGTAACCTCTCTGGAGTTATTTCACTTTTGACTGTTTATCAGTATTAATGATGTATGAGATAGATGAAACCACAGTGTGATTATAAAATACCATGCTAATTTTGTACAAGTTATAACTAGAAAAAAAATTAATTTGCTCATGAAACTAAAGTGCTGAAATAGCTAGGATAGAAGTGAAGGATATCCCATATCTTTTTTTTAAAGTAATCTTTTAAGTGAAAACACACATTCAGATGGAATGTGCATTATCAAATTTATCCAAGTATTTTTAGGAAACCTATTTCCCCAAAACTTAAAATATGACATTATTTGAGCTTTTTAGGCATAGAAAACAGTAATAATAATTTATAAAATAACATTGCATATTTAGCTATGGGGGAGTTGACACCAAAAAAGCCAACAATTCTTTTATGCTTCATCAACAGAAATGTTTTCTGTGTGTCTATTAGAGGTGTTTCAGTTGCATCTCAGAAGCATTTAGGATGCACAAAAATAACTAAAGTCACAATTTAAAGAGAGGTTCCAGTAATGAGATGCCAACACAGTATCTCTTTCTTTCTAATGCTGGAGCAATAAACAGAAAATAGAAAAGAGTAAAGGAGTAATCTGTATAGATTTTATTTACAATGTAAGATACTGACTGTCATTTAAAAAGTACTAAATATTGAATGCAACATTGTATTTTTTAAACCACAGTTCACCTACAGACACACTGGAATTAAGGCTATTGGTTCCAGGATATACATATAAGAAACAAAAAAATTACTATACTTTTATCTGAATATTAAGAATTAAGACTATAAAACAACTTAATATTTATAAAAAATGTGGTGTTTTACAGCTTGAAATACTAACCTAGACAATGTAATTTATATATATTTATTTATGTGGTATAATATAGGTAAGCTCAGGATCAAAATTTATTCTTAAATATCATAAATAAAAAAATCAGATATTAAACCATTTAGAGAATTTCGTCAGATTAACTCTAAAATAGCTGTGGGAATTACACACATACATAGCAGCTTCAATGGAATAGAGCTCATGAAAAAAACAGGAGTAAAACAAACTAAAAAACCCCAAAGGCAAACATTCATACCATTCTCTAACTATAGGATGAATAACTGGGAAATTATTATAATGCATTTTCTTTAGCTTGAAACTGAAGTTCCAGGAAGTAAAAAATTCCTACAAGAAGACTGAGTGATGAATTACTTTCTTTCTTACCCTGCCATTGCTCATAACAGCCATTTGCCCAGGAAGCAGTTTAAGAACCTCTTGGCAGAACATCTGGTGGGTTTTAATTAAATCCAGTCCTAAAGTGTTGTACTTCTTCTCAAAAGTATTGCCATCCATTCCCTAAAGCAAAGGTAAAGCATAAGAGGGTGGAATGATTCAGCAAAAATAAATTTTGTAACAGATGAGGTAATCAAAGATTTTTTTTTAAGTTATGTGGTAATGAGAAATCAAAGCAAAACAACCTCAACTTCAGTGTAAGTACACAACTGTTGTTGTGGAGCCAAGGTCTCACAATTAGCTAGGGTGCTGTTTTTACCCTGGGGCAACTCTGAATAACCGTGAGAGGTAAACTGAGCCTGAGGGTAAGCACTTTTTCCACAATCCAGCACACAGCTGCATGAAAAATAACATTTTCTGTTAAGAACTGAACTATATTCTCACTTTTAGGAAAAAGATGTACAAAAAATCCATAATACCCCAAAAACCTAACAGTCATTCATGTGGCCACTGGGTACAACTTGAATATGTTTTGGGGAAGCCAACATCATCCAGTAAGACATACAACAAATCCATGTCCAAAGTGGGAAAAAATGTCAAAACTTACACTGGCACTGTGCCTTACCTGTCAAAATTATCTTGCTATATTAAACTCTCCTGATATGTATTTCTTCACTAGTAATATGCAGACCAAGCAAATAGATTCGTTCAGATACAACTAATGTATCAGAATAAACAAAACAAGATAAATCAGTAACATGCCTGCTTGATTATCTACCTTTACGTCTTTCAAAATCTATTAAAGAAATAAAAGTATGACTCAAAGTAACTAATTAATTTTCCAGTATGTTGCCAGAGTTCTCTTAGTTTTGCAACACCTCCTATTTAAAAAGATGACAATTTATAGCTCCTTCTGAAACAAAACCTGTAGTTAGCAGTTGTTATTTGATAACTCAGCTCCACTCCACATGAGAAATTTGAAATCAGCAACATTTGTATTTTAAACCAATGAATTTGCATAAAAACACAGCAGAAAATGTTGTCCAGAACTGTATAATGCTTCAGTCTGTGCCTACTACTGCTCACAACCACAGCAGCAGTAAAAAGTTACTTCTGAAGTCTTAATTCTTGAAAAACATTAATATTGTAATTTTAACTGAGAGTTATCAAAAAAAATCAACAATTAAAAAATAAACTATTTTGGTTTCGGTTATCCAGTATCTGTACTTTCTATTTTTCAGTACTCTTGCTTGACTTTAAATAAATTCTTTATTCTTCAACTGTATAAAAGTTGCCAAAAATCCAAATCTGCTTGAGCAGAAACTGTATAAGGGTTATAAACTTAGTAATATTTGGCCACACACTGTCACTCTCAACCATGCCCCCTTACAATAAAATATATGTAAAATGAAAAAGAAAGTAATCTAATTTAGTTTTTACTCACTGGGATGAGGAATTTAGTAATTTTAGTTCCAGCAGCAAGGGATTTTGCTGTCTCTTCCTTACTGAGTTTACTGAGGAAACTTTTTAAGTTGCTGTTATTTTGTGTTAGAAAAGCAGACAAAATTCCTCTTGCAATGGCTGTGTTAGATTCCTTTATTTTTGATGAAGGATTGTTCAAAATCCCTACTCGTGTATGACTGCTTGTTTTCTGCAAAGAAAAATACAGAATAATAAGCACATTCATTTACAGTTCCATCTGCTGTTATGTAGTGTATTCGTGTCTCTGTGAAATGAACTTAAGTATTTAATTTTTTTGCAGCTATTTGTCTTTAGAAAATATACTTCAATGCCGTAATATAATTCATAATTTCAACTAGGAGTTAAAACATGATTAGAAAGGATTTACCTATTGTGTAATACATATTTTAAAGAGAAGGGTTTTTTTAATAGAACAATTGCCTTTGAGCATTTTGCAGAAGAGTATTTTTAACAAAGGATATACACAAGTGTTCATTTACAGACTTCAGAACTGGTTTTGTAGACATTTTTCTGTTTTTCAAAAACTATCAAACTAAACATAAAATAAATGCAAGCAAATTTATCCACTTACCCCTTTAATCTTAATCAGCAGAAAAATCTTTCACCTGCTAAAGTCAGTGATGCCACTCAAATTTTACCAGAGAGCATGAGGATTCTAAGGTAGGATCAAATAGCATCACTAACTGAAGAAAAGGTAAATGGACTTTACTGCAGTTAGGAATAAAAAAATAAGTAGTGCAATCACTGGTACTCAACACACTAAACTTTAGCAAACTTTAAATTGCAGCCCTTGAGAAAAACTTTGTTAAAACAGTTATGGTCCCCCCCCCAGTGCAGTAAAAGATATTGAAATGCTGGAGAGGCTTCAGCAAAGGGCTTTTAAGATGGTCAGAAGACTACGAGGAAGTACTTGAAGAACCTGGGCTTGCTCAGTCTGGCAAAGAGGAGGCTACAAGGGACTCTAATAGCAACCAACTGCTACTGAAGGGGAACGAAAAACATGACTGGGGCCAAATCCTTCTTGGTAGCAGCAGAGTATAACAAGGGTTAATGGTCACAAATTTTGGCCTGGCAGAAAAAACTGTACTAGGAAGGCAGTGCAACACCAGAGCAAATTCTAAAGGGAGGGGACAGAGTTGCCTCCTTGGAGATTTCCAGGAATCCTTCAGACACACCTACAGTTGACCTGATCTAATAAAGGCAGTAATCCCACTCTGAGTGGGAGGCTGAACTGGATGAACTCTAAAGGTCTCTTCCAGCTAAGACATCTCTAGCTTTTTTTTCAAATGAAGTAAAAATATATTTGTAGTTTTCAAAACAGTATATATTAGTTGGAATAGTTAAAAGTGAATTTCCTTCAGCCACTTTCCCGCCCAGATTCTTGCACTTTTTCTTCAAATGCTGATGGCAAGTCATGAGCAAGAGGTGTTTGTGCCAATTCTGCAACTATCAGAAATTCTACTAGACGCTGATTTGACAGACAAAAGGGACTAGAAAGGAGAACCTCCATACAAATCAGTGGACTTCAGAAAAATACTGGTTCTGTTTTTTTGTCATGACACTTGAAAGTCACTAGACCAAGCAGTACAGGAGGTTTATGTGAATCAATCTATGAATTAGAATGAAGACAACCAATTAAACTGCTGTTGCATTGAAGATTCAACAAACCTTATTCAGAATGGTTTTTTCTAATAGTTTTTTTTCCTAGATTCTCCTTACTAACACATGGGGACTTGCCTAGGCAGTTCTCACCTCTTAGCTGGGAATATGGAATTTTTCCTCTGCTGAAGTGGTGGGCAGAAAACGAAACTACAGATGGAAGACATGTCAAGCTTGGGTCACTGAAATTGTTTTTCTGTAACAAGGACTTGTACTGAATATTCCTCTTTACGTTTTTTAAAGCCTCTCTCTAATACATACTTGTTATCACAGGCTCTCTGCAAGATACCAATCTTCTAATTCCCTTAGGGTGGTTCCTATTTCATTCCTGATTGGAAAATGTAGATGCTTTCCCAATTTCAGTTTAAGCACTCTCCTAACCTGACCCGAACTGAGAGTTTTTCATCATTTATATTCACATGAGACATTTATACTTTATAAAGTATATTTACATATTTGTATTTTATACTTTAAATCCTATTATTAATACAGAACTTAAAAAAAAAAGCAAACTCATGAATGTGGATGATCCTCCTAACATATTAAGAACACACACACAAAAATTAATCTGTCTTTGAAGCACACAAACAGTACATGAAAAAATGGTCGCTTCATGACCACAGCTATGCCATATAACAGGAGAACACTGCATAATGGCTCACATCAACAGGCAGTATGCTAAATTCCTTGGCCCAGGTCACATGCTAGGCTACCTGATGGGAGAAAGTCTGTAACTGGGAAGACATTCACCCTTTTAGTACACAGTGTCACAGTTTCTCTCCTGTGTCATGAGCCCATGAACCAACCAAATGATCATTTCAGGGGGGCAGTTGGGCAAAACAAAAGCACAGTCTCTCAAGTATGCACCTGACCCACAAAAAAAATGTTGTTACACCTTTATGTAGCAGTATAATTATTGAATGTGCAGAGCGTTGTTAAGAACATATTCATAATAATTAATTTCATAAAACCTACTAGAAACTCACCAGGCTTTTCAAGGCATTAGAAAGCAGTCGTCTACCAGATGGCTTATCAAAATCAGCAATAATCCAGATAGTAACAGCATATAATGCATCTTCATCTGAAAATTAAAGAAAATCCTGCATTACTTTCTGGAGAATCTTCTCACAACTAATGAATAATGAATTAATTCTGTTTGAGATTTCAAAATTTATGTGTATGTTTGACTGCTGACTTCAATTGCAAGATTAATCTTTGCCACATCAGAATCTTTTGTTCTCTGAATTGAAATAGGATTCTTAGAAGGTAATTTACCATGTTAATAGGACAAAGTCACTAAAAGAGCCAAGTCATTGTTGCAGCACTGAAACAAAAGGGCCCTAAGTAATAAGATAGCTCCAATTAACAAGATCTGCTTTACCAGAGGTTACTTCTGAACATTGGATTGGAGGCTGCTCATATAGCCAGAAATGAGAAGAATTAAGTAGTTACAAGAATGCATAAACTAGGCTAACCACTTTCTCTGGCAGTAGAGTCCTTCAACTAAATGCTGGAAAAAACCTTCTGGACACAAATGGGAATAATAATAAATACAGTCCAAAGAAAGTAAACTACTGTGTAAGTGTATTTGCAGAAAATTTCCTATTTTTCTGCTCTGCAGTCTCCTGTTCTTTACTTGTCACAGAAGAGGAATGGTATGTGAAAAATTCTGCAAAATTATCTGTAGAAGAATATCAGTCTACCCAGGTCTATCATATATCCCCTAAAAGGTAATACATATAGACAGAAATTTTCAAAGGTTCTGGTGAGATTCTAGGAAGAGGTTATTATTAACTCTTGCTGTGGTCTAGAGAAACATACTGGGGACAGAGATATGAAACATAGATTCCAGTTTAAAGGTTATGGGCTTTACACAAGAGATCTCAATCTTACAAATAAGCCTAAAATTGAAAGTCAGTCATTTGACAGCTAGCTGGGATGTCCCTATGGTTGAAGACACAGAATCGAACAGAGCCAAATAACTGTATTCTGAAGAAATTTAAGTATTTGGCATTTACTTCTGAAAACGGAATAAGTAAAAACTCTGTAAATATTACATAAAAATCACTGAAAGAACAGCACTTTGTTAACATGGTTATTCTGTCTCTTGATGGACTAGTTAAGAGCAATTGTTAACTGTTCCCTCCTAGAAGTAAATAAGGTAAAATTCTATGCAGAAATATGCCCCCTCTTGTAATTTCCTCTAACTCCAAGGGAATGTACTTCTATATGCAATAAGAATGTTTACATTAAAAAATAGTTCAAATATACAAAAAATTTGAGTTTTAATAAATATAAAATGTATCAATGAGTGATAATATCATAGAATCATAGAATCAACTGGGTTGGAAAAGACCTCCGAGATCATCCAGTCCAACCCTTGATCCAACACCGCCGTGGTTACTAGACCATGGCACTAAGTGCCACATCCAGTCTCATCTTAAAAACCTCCAGGGATGGTGAATCCACCACCTCCCTGGGCAGCCCATTCCAATGTCTGATTACTCTCTCCGTAAAAAACTTCTTCCTAATATCCAACCTAAACTTCCCCTGACAGAGCTTATCAGAATATATTTTATTTCTTTTCTACAAAAAGACAAAGCTTCATATAGCAAAATTAAACCATCTAACTAGGTGAAAAATAAGAAGATACTTATGCTAATAAATAAGATATATAATCAATTATTCCTGAAATTACAGATATACCTAATTTTGGTACAGATATTACAAAGACTATATATTCTGCATTTGATAATGGTGCAGCTAAGAGTCACTTGAAAACTTAATATCCTCTAACATTCTCAAGTAAAATCATATTAGTTTGAAAACTGCGTCTGTTTCCAAAGCTGAAAAGTCTTGCAAAGCTTTTAAACTTTATGTTTGTGAAACAAAAAACAACTAGTCACCACATCCAACCCATTTCAAAACTACAAATTTGAAAATAACTATCCTGTTAATTATAATTTATGCTTATAATATTAGGATGTGATCTGGCTCCTTAAAGAAGGTACTAGGATATTAGAAAATGTAGTTGTTTATATGCGATCCTTGGGATACTGACTTATTCAGGATATTTTACTGGCAAACTTCAACAATTTAACTATGTAATATCTATATACAGATAGACAGATAACCCATACAGGAAATTAATATACCCTTTTTTGTTAAATACTTCATGTTGTCTGAAATTACAGCACTTTTATCTTGTGAGTCCAAAAAGGAGAAAGTAGAGAAGTCTTCCACATCAAATGGAACTGCAAAATGTAAAATGCAACATGTTAAACATTAAAAAAAAAAAAAAAGAAAAATCATAACAACAGCCAATCTGAGAAAAGTAGTTACCGGATGTGGGTCTGAAAGGTATGTATCTTCTTTCTGCTCCAAGAATAGTGGGGTTTATACGGGAAACTATGTTGTTCTGGTCCATAAGAAAATCTATTGCATTCATGTGATCATTTAGCAAACCCTGTAGTAAGAGAAAAAAATTAAATCTGTACTTTTATAGTTTCAAGACAAAGACCAAGTATTTGTACAGTCTTTCAACTGAGCTTAAAGCTTCTATATACACCAAATTATGGACTATGTCAAGTCAAAACCACATAAGTTATATCAGACAGACAGTATTTCAAAATATCAGATGTACATTTTTCAATGAACAAGTGCAGTGTAGTCTCAGTTTCTGGTTGAAAAAACCAATATAATTACTATATGCTCAGTTGATCCTCCAGTCTTGAATAATTTAAATGTACTGTTTCAAAACCATGACCACAAATTAATGTAACAATGTAACTGCAGGTGTGCTATTATTAATTCCAAGCCATCTCATTATAAAAAACTTAATAGATAAACATGACTCAAACAATTTACTGCCAAATATTTCATCTTGCCTTCGTTCAGGAATGTTGAACATACCATGAACACTGCCCGCTGGAAGAACTTGGTGGCATCAATAATCCTCTGAAGAATAACTGTCTCTAACTCTTCAACATCCATCTCGTCTCTATTAAAGGGCACGCCATTAAACAGCACTTGAGGCAATGGGCCCAGGCCACTCCTTTTATAAAAGGTTGCTCCTGCCTGATCACATCAGAAATATCACAGGATTAAACAGACTGTGGCTGACTGCTGCAAAAAATGAAACTAATATCAAGAGAGGATGAACTCTAATCTCCACGCACTCTTCACTGTCACACCTTCTCATGAGTAGCAGGGAAAAAACAAGAAGCGTTTGGAAAGCACAGAGGAACAGATGGGACTCATTTCTCAAACAGAATGACAAAAGAAATCATAGCTCTGTAGATGGTGTTTTAAACTTGCTGAGAAATATTCTTTTATTTTGCTTAACATTCTTAGGAAAAAAAAAATTAAGCAACAACATTAGAGAAAAACCTTGAGACAAAGTTTTCTTTTCCCAAAGAAAGTACCCTAAAAAAACCTCAAAAGGCTTTTACGTTCATAAGTGAAGTCTTATTTGATAAGAAATCAGAACAAGCTGATTTTTCCTCAAAGTTAGAAAAGTCAGTGAGACAAAGAGAAATAAAGATGTATTGTAAGCAACTCTCCCTTCTTATATTCTGCATTGTTTCATGTTTTCTTGCAATATCTATGTGTTCATCTTTCTGTCATCCCACTGTCTCCTCCTTGGTCTTCAACACAGTCTCACTGTCCCCGCTTGTACAGGGGACTTCTTCCTGGTGGCTGACTATTTTTCTGTCTTTAATATTCTCTGTGGGAGACTTTCTTCTCCTAACTGTACCCACCTGTTTCCAGGACAGATTCAAACTGCCCTGCCACACAAAGCCTCTAGACTTCGTTCCAGTGAGGAATAAACAGCGTAAGGCATAGAGCACCCTTTTTTTCTGGCTGCCCCAATACATCTTTTTAAAGAAATATAATACACATTAGATAACAAATTTTAAAAGGAAATAAATTAAATGGAGTCAAGAACACAAGACTGTATGAACAGTATGGCTGAAGACACACAGAGAAAAAAGGTATTTTATGTATGTTTTAGCAGAAAACTGTCTACTCAATCACAGATAAAAATGTCTTCTCTACAGCCTTTAAATAAAAATCCACAGCTGTCTTTCCCGAAGGATATTATAACCAGAAGGCAGAATTAAAGAAAACAATGATCCACCTAGAAGACAGGTTTCAGCTCTTCACCCAGAGACACATATAATTTCTACAGCATGAGAGAGACCACTTGACATGACTACTAAAAAAAAAACTTGTGCTCCTGAATGCAGCAGGCAAGAGTAAATTTTCATAGTGAGAGTAGTAATGCAGAAATCCCTGCAGCATTTCCATTAATGACTGAATGGTAGCTGAAGAAAATGACTCAAAGGTGCTCTATCTACTTACTTTAACATTTAACAATCCTTCAGCTTAGCAAATGCATTAAGTATTACACTGCAGTATTTCTTAACACTTGGCTCTCAACATACCTTCCTCCCTTCATCATATTCAGAATGAACACCTAGTATACTCTGAACATCAGCATTGGGGTATTCACTTCTAAGGACATCTTTCACATCATCTACTGTTAGAACACTTCCATCTCTCACTTCATGGTACATCTGTAAAAATTATAACAGAAAGAAATTAAAAAAATGTGGTGAATTGTCAAACATAACTCAATAAAATTAATAAAAGTATATAAACAATAATTTTTTATAATGCTCTATCAAATTTTGTATCAATATAATTTTATATTGCTGTATTGAAGTTTTTATATTGCTTTAGTAATTATCACCATTGCTCATATACACAATTTTACATCAGAGTACTGTTCTGATTAATGTATTATTATACCTTTAGTCTAAATCTGAAGTGGCAAAGGAAATACACTTATGTGAGTTGAATGTGAAAGGTTATTTCTCTCCACTAATTAGAGAAGCAATCTAAGTTCTTTCAATAAACTACCTAATCATGGGTAGTTACCTGAATCTATATGGGATTAATCCAAGCCTAAATTAGTCAGTGATACTTTTTCCTACAGTAATAATTTTTCCTTAGAAATGTTATTTTATTTCATAGAATAATATTTTATTACTTTCATTAAACATACAATAGAAATTTGAAGGGAAAAATATTCAATCCACTTCTTTTCAAATGAGGAACAATACATTTTCCTCTATAGATCTGAGTATCTCAAACTTGTATTTTATTGATTATATTTTTGCAATCTTTTAATTATATTTATCATTCTCTCCTTTTTATATTATGAAACAAAGTAAAAAGAGGAACACAACATTTTAAAAAGCACACTGTAAATTATATTTCGTGATTCTGGTCAGGGATAATTGTCACCCATGCATGTCAGCTCCCTAACATCTGTGGATTTCTCTTCCAGGGTAATCCTAGTTACTTTAATTTCTTTCATCTTAAGCTCTCTAAGTTTATCCATGACATCAGTTTCTAAGCACTAAAAAGAAAAACAGAAAAGAAATGTAAGTAAAAATGTTATGCATTAATACCACATTCTCTGATGTAATTTTTACCTGCAGAGCCTTTACATGGACTGCTCACTTTATTTTCCTCCATTCATCTCTCACCTCCTGTCTTTACAAGAACCTGCATTCTCTCACAAAGAAAGCCTGTGTCAAGCATTAAGCTGCAAGCCTGGAGCGTCTCTATGTTTTGTACATTCATGAACAGCTCAAGCATTATCAAGCATTATAATTTTTCATAAGAAAATACTAAAAGCTGAAAGGCATGTATCTAATTTTTTATATTATTAAAGACAGCCTGTTGATAGGTAAAATGAAAAGAGCAAGTTGGTTTCTGGGGAAGGAAAGTATTTCTGCAAATAATAGAATATTAATGCTACACATGTTTCTAACATTTCTGTATAAAGTAAATGCATACATCTCATGTTATCACACGGTAGTAAAATCCTAATTATATTAAAAATTAACAAATTTTAATAAAAAAGAAGAAAAAAGGTGATTTCTCGTGAATGAACTAACCTTAATTATTGAGGTAAAGGCCTGAAAGGTGTCATATTCCTCCGCAATGTAACTAAAACTTCTCCAAAGAGCTATTCCAGCATCTTCATTTCCATCAATTTCTTCTTTTGTATTTAAAATGAAAACAATTCCAATTCTATAAACAAGCAAAAAGAGATCATACATCTTAAAACAATATCCGCTTCACACGCATTCTAATACCAACACAGAAGAATAAGATGTTTGCATTTAAGTAATCTGCCCAACACTTAGTGATGAAAACCCTGTACCTAGAGATGGCTGAAAACCTGCCTGCCCAAGGGAAGTGGTGAATGAATTCCTTGTTTTGCTTTGTTCGTGTTCATGGGTTTTGCTTTACCTATTAGTCTTTATCTCAACCCACATGTTCTCTCACTTTTACTCTTCCAATTCTCTACCCCATTTCACCAAGGAGCAGTGACCCAGCGGCTCTGAGGGCTTTAACTGCAGGCTGGGGTAAAACCACAACATCCAGAAAGCCTAAAAGTCCAAGACACTGATGTGAAGATCTTGTTTCTCAGGGGAACAAAGACTTTGAGCAATGAGACAATCTGGTCAAACAGACTGCAAATAGCAGCATGACTAAAGCACAAAGTCTTTCCCAAACTAAACACCCAGGAGAGAGAAAACTGAAGATATCTGAAGTTATATTCCCTGCCAAGAACAAATAAGGATCCTTCTGGTCTCTACTTCACTATTGGAAAGGAATTCTGATCATTACAGTCCATTCCACATCATACATGATATAGGAAAAGGACACGAAAAATCCTTCTGCTGAGTCCCAAGTGACAGAGCACATCTATGTCCATGGCTAGAACTTATGGATTCTGAAGAGGAAAAAATATATGCCTATTCATGAACATAGCCGTTTCCATTAAAAGATGAAGACTAGGAAGATGGATTCTGCCAGTCATCCAGAATTTTGTGAGTCCAAAGCCATCAGAACCCTTCTAAACATTTCCAAGCCTTCCACTCTCTACTATCAATACATTTTCTTAGAACTGCATTTTAACCAGCATTTTAACATGAAACCTGCTTGTGTAATGGGAGAGAGCCATGAGGAAGACGGTAAAAACCAGATACTTTTATGAATCAGAAATAGAGATTTTATGCAAATATTTCGCACTCTGGGGCAGCATGTAGTTTTCCAGAACACATCCTTGAATCATGCTGAGCACCTGCAGTTAATGCTATACATACTAGATCTGCAGCAAAATCCTCTGTCTTTAGCTGTCACTTGTCCCAAAACAAACCTAACAGGCCACCAAAAGGCTGCTCCATGAGAAATCTCTACGGAAGCAGCGATTCAATTTTTTTCTCCTCTACATTTACTTTATAGCCAACCTACAGGTAGAGATGTCTCTGGTTGCCAACCTGCAACCAAAACCATCTAATAATGCGCAAAATGGCTTACACAACCACAGCCGTCTATGAACTACAGCTGTATAAGCTGCTGCCTATTCCTGACCACACATATGACAGCACTGGATAATGTCCCACATGCAGCAGCTGGTTGAAAGATCGAAATTTATGCCAACTATAGAAAAGAGGTAAATTGCAAGGCAAAACAAGAGAATTACAGTCTTTCTGAAGAACTATCAGAGACCCAAATCTGGCTCCTGCTATCCAAAACACCGTGCTTCTTGCAAGTATTTCCACGAAGCGTACAGTTCTGCCATAGCTGCTACAAGAACAGGAGGCACCTGCTGGTCCTGTGATACATGAGAGCTACTACAACGACACGACCACCTGCAAGGCTGAGCCCATGCTTCAGTGGACCTTCATATTTACAATCAGTAGGTTGATTTAGGAAGTCAGCTTTTCACTTAGATAGCCACTTCACATTAGATATCTTAAGGCTATTAAAATGAAATCTGTCTTATCAGTATAAAATCATTTAGACAGGTGTTCAGGACAATCAGGTGTGTATCAGATCACAGGACAGAGGGATTAAGAAATACAGCAAGTTTTCTAAAAAGATACAAATAATAATCAATGCATAAAGATGCAACATGTTCTACAACTAATTGCTTCTCCCATTTTTTACATCTCACTATTGCAAATAACTTTTCTCAAAGACTTATGTCACCTGGATGCCATAGGAACAGTCAGCAAAACTAAATATCACATGACAAGATAGACCCCATGACTTGTCTACATCTTGAATACTGTGTACATGGCTGTTGCTCTCATCTCAGAGAAGACATATTAACTCTAGGAAAGTCTGGAGAGAGATAACTCAGAAAATAAAACAAACTTTGGAACAGCTTTCAGGAAAAGAATAACTTGTAACCTAGGGAATGAAATGAGTGCTGTTGAACACAGCAGAGCTTTATAAAGTCATGACACCTATAAAATCAAGAGAGAGAGGGATAGACTGCTTAGGTTCCTATTTATAAGAGCGCAGAGACAGTAAATGAAGCTACTAAAACTCTGGCTCAAAACAAATAAAGCAGTTTTTCATCACATAGTTCAACTGTGAAAATACCCGGAAAAGGATACTGGGGGTGCTAAAACTTTACAGGAATTTGAGGGAAAACCAGAAAAGTTTGTGGAACAGAAACCCATTGAGGATAGCTAAGTATCCTAAGTATCCTAGGAATTCTTTGATCTCTAAATGCATGAATGCCAGAAAAATACTCAGGTAAAGAAACTGGTTCCACTATGCTTTTTATCATACCAAGACAATTCCTTGTGGCTTCTTGTAGACAGACTGACCAAAATGGATCTTTACCCTGACCCAGTTTAGCTACTCTTATGCTGTTATGTATCACAAAAGGCAAATCATGTTCTAGGCTATATTCTCCTCAAGGACTGAAGGAGTATTGTCTCCCAGGTAGTGACAAAACGCACATGTAACTAATATCTGTCCTGCATTATGTTTTTGTAATTGAAAAATAAAACATTAAGAAAAATAAAACAATTATCAGAGATAGTAAAATTTTAAAGAAAAAGGAAAACCATGTAATTTATTGAGGAAACAAAAAACATTTCCCAAGAAGATTTTAAATAATTAACATGGAATTCATCTTGCTAAACCTTGGAAACCCTTCATTTGTAAGCTGTGGAAATAAACAGTTTCCTTTTTCATAAAAACGAAACAATTCATTTTTTCTTAAAAGTAGGCATCTCAGATTAACCAGACTGTTCCCTAAAAGTGTCTTTATCTCAAATGCTAACTAGTTCAGACCCAGACAGCTAATTTTTAGAAATTCAAAACTTGATGAGGACAATCTTGCTTTAGTCTTAAAAGTTTTTATATAAAACCAAAGTTAAGTAAAGCAACCTCAACTGAAATAATTGAATTTAAAAAATTCTCTCAAAATATGTTTTAATTACAGCATATTTTGATTACGATGCAGCTTCACAAGGGCCTGCAGTGGGACTATTTGACAAAACAAATTTTTATCAGACTTTTGCAGTTCATTTTACACACAGTCAAGTACATTATCCCTTGCAATCTATTTGCTTAAGAAGACTTAATACCTGAGTAAGCTTGACACAAGTGGGTAACCAATGTGTCTTATTAGAACGTGGTTGAGTTGGACTTCATTTAAATTCACATCTTTGTCTAGCAAAACAGAAGATGAAGATGAAGAAGAAAAAACGGAAAGTAACCTTATTTAAAGACTCTTCCTCAAGATTTTCAGTTTTCCTTACCTAAGTGGTACATTATAATGGTAGAATAACTCTGCCACTTTCATGTAATCACCTGTATCTTCTTGGACAGGATCAACAAAAAGTACCTAAGAAGAGAAAACATATCATGCAGCCAACATTTATTCTTGATGTCTGCTTTTATTTTTTTGTCAGACATAAAATCCAAGATAAGAACATTAATTTCCAAAGGAGCTGTACGCCTCAACTGTTTTCAATTTTTTAGAGCATTCATTGTAAGAAAACATTAAAAGCATAAATGAAAATAACTTCAGAACTAATGCATTTGGATCAAATGCTGAAAACAGGATTTAACCATTTATTGAACTTCAAACCAAGTGATACTGTTTTCTCATTTGAAAGACTCTGTGCCATTACTTTGTTTATATTAATGAACTTTATTTTAAAAAGGATATAATGACTATTTTTATGTTAGTTCTTTTAACTGACTCTCTGTTGTGAAAACCAAACAAAAATAAATAAATGGAATATATTGGCTTAAAACTTTAGTTAAAAGATGGAGCTTTGGGAAAGAATTCTTCCTTTCTGTCTCATATATTTTTGTAGTCTCTCACTTAGTGTAGCTTAGAATATAAAATTAGATCTTTCAGGCATGCATAGAACCTAAAAGTGGGATGTATCTGCATAGATAGATTATCCTTATGTAGATTTAATTATGACATCTGTACCTTATTTATTCAGCTTTGCACTGCAAACTCCCCTTAGAATGTATCATATTTGCTAAAGCAGATGAAATGCAGCAGAATAACTTGCAAAATTTTGATTGCTCTCCCCCTCAGATTATAGTTAAATGATATGTTGTAGACTTCTATAATACAGTTGTTACATTTAACAAATTTAACTCTGAATAAATAATGCAATCTACTTCATATTACACACATCTTATGCTTCATTAGAAGTGAAAGAGTGACTACAAAAATATGTGAACAGAAAGGAAGAATTCTTTCCCAAAGCTCTATCTTTTAATTAAAGTTTTAAGCCAATATTTATTTTTGTTTCTATGTATGCTTCATAGAAACATACATTTTTTATTACACATTGCTTGTAATTTCACTGTCTTTTTATATACTGAACTTAGTGTCACTTTAAACAACTGCATCAATGGACAAGCAAAGTGCTACAGATTTCATCAATCTGGGTTTCTGTAAGGCCTTTGACATGGTTCTCCACAACATCCTTCTCTTTAAATTGGAGAGAGATGGAGCTGATGGATGACCTAATCAGAAATTGGTGGGATGGTTGCATCCAGCTCAATATCTGGTCTGTATTGTGACCAGTGTTACTCAATATCTTCATTAGTGACACAGACCAAGTGATTGAGAGCACCCTCAGCAAATTTGCAGATGACACCAAGCTGAGTGGTGCAACTGACACAACTGAAGGACGGGATGCCATCCAGAGGGACCTGAACAAGCTCAAGAAGTGTGTCCATGGGAATCTCAAGAGGTTCAGCAAGGCCGAGTGCTGCACCTGGGTTGAGGCAACTCCCAGTTTACAATGCAGGCTGAGGGATGAAGGTATTGACAACAGCCTTGCAGAGAAAGATTTGCAGGTGCTGGTGGATGAGAGGCTAGACATGAGCTGGCAGTGTGTGCTTGCAGCCCAGGAAGTGAATTTTATCCTGGGCTGCATCAAAAGAAACATGACCAGCAGGTCAAAGGAGGTGATTCTGCCCCTCTGCTCCACTCTGGTGAGACCCCACCTGGAGTATCCAGCTCTGGGGCCCTCAGTATGGGAAAGACATGGACCAGTTGGAGCAGGTCCAAAGGAGGGCCACAAAAACAATCAGATGGCTAGAGAACCTCTCCTATGAGTAGAGGGAAACTTATAAGAAAAATGGAGAGAGGCTTTATACCAGTAGCAGTGACACTGTAGTAACAGAACAAGAGATAACAGTTTTGAACTAAAAGAGGGCAGATTTACATTGAATATGAAGAAATGAGGGTGGTGAGGTACCAAAGGTGTCACAGGGGAACCGGTTGCCCAGAGAAGCTGTGGAGGGACCACTATTTAAACTGGTAAAGGACAGACTGGATGAGGTTCTGAGCAACCTGGTCTTGTTGAAGATGTCACTGGTCACTGCAGGAGGGTTGGGCTAGATAACCTTTAATGGTCCTTTCCAACCCAAACCATTTTATGATTCTATAGTTCATACCTTTTATATTTTAAATCAGCAATAGCTGCTTCCTTAACTCACTAAGGGATACAGAATGCTATATGCAGAGGAAAAATTAGGCTACAAGACACTCATAATTCGTATCCTTTAAAACATAAATCTTTTTGTACATCTGTTCACCATCTCTAAAACAAGGACAGTTCCCTCAGTAGTGTACTATGAAAAAATTCTTCTATATTAGTGAATTATCTATGTGTAACATGGAAAGGAACACAAAAACTCCTGACAAAACTGTGCCCAAGTCCATTTCTGGAAATCAGACAATAACTGCATATGACTCACTAGACAAAGCACTCTTCACTATTATTAGCAGATCCACATAGAAAACAAATCTTAACAATAAATCCAGCATGTGTATTTTTTAATAAACTGTCTGTTCACATATTAATAGATACGCTATGCAAAAATATTAAGTTCTCCAAACTTACCAAATTATGTAAATTGCGTCTAATCTGCTGCAGAACTCCAGGAAGTGTGGGTCTTAGCAGTTCCTGATAGCTTTCAGGCCATGTGCTATAGCTGTGATCTTGTTCGATATTATTAATCCACTGAAACAAAAAGGCAGTCACTTAAAAAACACACACTGAACACTGAGTAAAATACATGGGCATAAATAATAATATTTTGAAACACATGGAAAGACTGCAAAGAATAAAATGTCTTCCCTTTTTTTTTTAAATAGTAACAGAAAGTAGCTTCTAAAATTAATCTCTTTTTTTTTCCAGTCAAACTGTTTTCATTTGCAGTACACATGAAACTATTAATGGATGGAAAAGGAAAAAGGACAATTTGTACTATGCATAAGGATGTGAATAAAATCATTTTTTTCAAGTGTGGAAGCTACTTTCACAATACAAACATCATAACAACATATCACATATATGTGGGTAACCCAGCATAACCACCTTGTAATCCAAATACAGTATTTATCTTTAACGTGCAGTAACAGCACTTTGGATATACCAAAATAACGAATCCATATGTGGTCAATTTGTTCTTCTAGTCCTTTCTGTGTAAGCCTTGGCAAGCAGAAGAGTGAAATATGGCTCTTTCAGGTAAAAATAATTTTATTTTAGTGCCTTTTTCACCGGTATATAACCTTTATAGTGAAACCTGCATATATTTTGAAGCTCAGTCATTGGTCAGTTAGAAACAAAATATTTATGTGGTCCACAATTCATTTATCATACCTGTAAACTACACTTAGAAGTCTTGCATAACAGGATGATACCACATAGTATTATGTGGCTAGCTTAATTGCTGTAAAGTCAAATTCTATTGCTGTAAGTGTGAAACCACTCTCAGATACATTTTTCTTTTCTTTTAAATATCTTACGTCTTAAAATTTTAATAAGGTATAAACTAGAGAAAATTACTCCTCAAATATATTGAAGGAATATCATCCTCAAAAATATAGTCTTAGGACTAGTATTTCAATTACACTATCAAAAAAGATAGTTTATCTCATACATAGAATTATCATATATGTAATATTTAAATAAATAATTTTAAAATTACTTACTACTATCGAAGAGTGACGAATATCTAGTGCATAACTGTTATCTGTAGGATGTATATGCAACCTCATAAATTTACTCAGGATCTCCTCTTTGATTCCAAGTTCATGAAGGCCATGCATCACTTTTCCTTCCAGTTTAAGAGTCTCTAAGATACTTTTTCAGGAAGATAAAATACATGTCTACACAGAAGTCTTGTCATGACATAAAAACTATTTTTCATACTAAAAATAATCCTCATATTAACAGTCTTAGAAATATTTTTCTTTCTATATTCTCCCACAGACTAATGTTGAAAAAATGTATCAGTTAGTAACACCCTAATTGTACATCCTTAACTTACTTCAAAACAGAACTACAAGAGACAATACAACTCTTTTGTTGATTCACATTTATTGTATATGAAGCAATTTTATCCATCTTTAGTAAGACGTGGCAGGACAGCAGAGCACAAGGTTTCTTGCTGTACTGTCCTGGCCGAGGCAGAAACCCAAGCTGGGGTATCCTAAGAGGAAGCTTTGCAAGTAGGCAGAGAAGTAGGCAGTACATGATAGGGACACAGGTGAGCTCTAAGTCTGCATCACTGCAGAACCCTGAAAACAGCATGGAGGAAACACACAGCCACACCTCTAAAGTTTCCCAGAAAACCAAGTGGGACTCTAGAACACCTGCTACAATCTGAAAGTTCAAATCTGGGAAGGAAACAAACCCTGAAGTACTCCACTGTAGAACACGGCTTGCAAGATTTTACAACTGCCTTCATTTCTATCCTGCTTCATTTTGAGTCTTCTCTATTCCTAAAGCTTTCTTCTAAAATATGTTGAAATGAAACCCAGCACTATCATTAAAAAATGCATAATTACTATGAAAGATTCAAGTCACTCCATCTCAAAACTCTGGTTGACAAAAAAATAGGTAAAATTGCAAGCATAAATACTAAGCCCAAGAAAGTTTAAGAATCTTTATGGAAAAGAAAATAAGACATGAGTTAAAAATTGAAAATAAATAATTATAGACTGTGACAAATTAGTAGATTTACTAACAGTTTTGCAGGCCATCAAAAACAATTTTGAAGTAGTCCTGTTTGTTGTCCTTGACAACACAGAAGAATGCAACAGAAGATGTTTGTGGCTTGAGTGCTTGCATAAAAGAGGCAAGTCACACCCAAAATAATTATACTATAATTGCACAAACTAGAAAAAGATTTCTTATACCAAAAAGCATACTACCTTTGCATTAACAGAAGTTATTATAAAAGGTGGCCAGATAGAGACTTGCAAGCATGTCAAAAGTAACCCAAGCTGTTGGATATCTAAATTTAATGCCTGCAATTTTTTTTTTTAATTTTTAATAAACAGGGATATGAAAACATTTAATTTACTGTCAAAAGTACTTTCCCCACCTTTTTACAGCTGCTGATTGGATTCCTTCCATTTCCAAATTAATTTTACATGGTAAGTAAAATTTTAAGTAAATTAGAAAAAACATCCAAGAAAAAATGCTGTTTTCAACTACTTATACAATGTTCATATTCAAAGCAAAACCACTGTAAACCAGTGTTCTCTCTACTGGAGGACATCCAGGCCCCCCCTCATGCAACAGATGAGATTATCACCATGAGCACAACTTTTCCAGTATTATTAGTAATTCTGTAATCTTCAAACAAGATGTACCATCTTACCTAAAAGGATCATGAAAATCCAAGTCAATAGGAAGGCCATTTAGAAACAAATGTGCTTCTCCAGGTTGGATTCCAAGTGTTTCATGAAAATGCTAAAAAGTAAAAAGTACTGCTTACTTATTTAGGCATATGTCAACCACAAACACACATATATAAATACATACACACACATATATCTATAAATCTATATCACATATCTATAAAAGCCCTAAAGAAATTCTGCAAAATATACACACCAATTCTCTTCCACACAATTCCTTCTTGTATTTGAGTGTTGGAAAAAATACCGACATCAATGAGTGCTATTTAATACACTTTGTACAAATACAAATGAAAACAGCTGGTAATTCCCCCCAAAACAATCTACAGTGTCCCTATCTGTACAAGGCAGAAAAAAAGACACATTCTCAATGTTTGCCAACAGAAAGTGAAAATACACATACAGAAATATGTCTTGTAAGTTTTTGAAAAATTCTACATATCTGTTCAGGAATGAGAACTTACATGTGTCCTTCAGACCCTCCACCTGAAAGCAGCTTTTGCAATAGCACAACATCTCTCAATTCCAAAAAAAGTCTATTCGCAATTGTTTTAGGGAATTAAGAAAAACAGACAAGAAACCCAAAATCTCCTCTAACAAGGGGACCTCAGGAAAAATGCCGATTAGAAAGGGATAGCATAGCATATCTTTACTTTGCAAAGAAGAAAAGAGACCCACAATAAACAAATACAACAGAAGCATTTAGGGAGTAAAGTATGTCTCTGAGGAGAGCTCTGAGGAACTATCTGGTTCAATCTCAGGTGGCTGTATCAAGATAAGTAACAGAAGCAACAGCAGTAGTGTATCCCAACTCACCCCATAGGAATCAGATTTCTGGATCTGTCTTAATTCCCAGTAGAGGAATAGTAAGTAAAAAAATATGCAAAAAAAAGGCAAAAAAAAATATTTTTACCCATTTAGCTCCCACTTGCTAAATAAAATAAGTGTGAACAAAACATGCACTTTGAAGAAAAGCACATTTAAAGCAAGTAACTCGGGCTGCATATATTACTCCACTTATAAGCCTGTCACTGAACAAATGAAAGAAAAAAATGAGCATATATTAAAAATAGTATTATTTCTTTAAAACAGGGTGGTTACTTTCACACAGTAAAATGCAAATAAACTCAAAGCTAACTGGTTTGTGGCATTACAAGTGCAAACCTACATAAATGAGACAACAGTTTCCTTGAAGCTCCTTGTAATCGAACATACGTGCATTATTGCTCATCACTCATTGAGAATGTACCATATTCCTTAGTATATATAAACATTTCCAAAACCCCAAGCAGAATGAAAATATACAATAGTACCTAATACTAGTTTATGAAAGGCAGGGTTCTCCATGAAGGAAAACTGCACCTGTGATAAGTCTAACATAGAAAGAATGTTTATTTAAGTCCAATATCTGTCCTTGACTTTGAAAACCAAACTGAAAAGAGATAATTTATTAGTTTCCTAATTTGTAAACCCCACTTTATTCCCAATCCTATACTCATGTAAATTACAGATTTTTTTCCTTTTTTTGTATGTCCCAGAACTTGGTACAGAAGAAGGACTTCTATCTTCCTTACAACTAATTGTTGCTTTGGATTACTCCAGTCCAAGTGTTGGACTTTGTATTTATCTTTGTGAAATCTCATGCAAACATTAAAAACCAACTAGAAGTAGTGGCTAGTGTCTGACATTTACATTTTTCCTACTACAGCTTCAATTACATGCTCTCCCAAGGTCTCACTCGACACATCCCTTCTAAGCAGCCAAAATTCACAAGTACCTGACAATACCAAGCGCCCTTGCAGCAGGTAACACTTCCAGTCATTTTACCTACATAGTTTGATCCTGAGACACAAACAAAACAGGCAGAAAAGACAAACTGAAACAGCCAGGCACACAGCCATGAGCCTCCTCTGCACCAGCCAGTCCTAGGTATACTGGAATTTTCCTGTACTTAACAAATCGAACTTGGACTAAGGGTTAATAACAGCATTGTGCTATGAAGTGCTCTGACCACAAAGCAATCCCTCTCAATGCCACTGGACTCAAGCAGTGAACAATAAATATAAAGATGATTACAGTCTCCAGCAGTCTTACCAGTATCCTTCAGAGCTCTTACACAGATCTTGTGAGATCAGCTAGAACAGCCCTCTCACTGAAGCACCAAAATCAGCATTTAGGATATGAGATCTCTTATCACTACTGAAGCTTACTGTCATAAGCCAGACATTCATGTATACATAGATACTGAAAAAGACTGTAACTGGCTGATGTAGGTCATAAAAACACTAACTAAAATGAATGCAAGAATAATGAAAAAATTATAATTCACTGGGTATTGAAATGGGATTAAAAGTTTGTCAAATTCTTCAGTACTGCAGTAGAAAAAGATCTGAGCTGAATCACTGGATGTGTCAGGTTGGAAGGGACCACAGAGGAGGTTGCCTGGTCCAACATTCCTGCTCAAGCAGGTAGAGCAGCACATGGCATAGGATTGCATCAAGATGGTTCTTGAATATCTCCAGTGAGGGAGACTCCACAACTTTTCTGGACAATCTGTTCCAGTGCATGGTCACCCACATAGCAAAGAAGTTCTTCATCATATTTACGTGGAACTTCCTGTGCATCAGTTTCCTCTTGTCCTATTGCTTGGTACCATCCTCTTGATGCCCTCCCTTCAGATACTTATAGACATTGATAAATCAGAGGTGAGACTCATGATACAATTTTGATGCTAGGCACTTGATTGTTCAGAAGCGCATCCAATTTGCCATAAAAACATTGATGGATGGAGTATTTAGGCAGCCCATACTAGAATTTAAGGCTGATAATAGTCATATAGTATTTTCTTGCTAAACTGTCAGCAAATTATTGCACTGGAAGTTGTGAGTTGTGTTTAATGAGATTTTATTTTTTTCTTTTCTCTATAGCAGTTCTTTGTCTATTTCTTGGTTAGGTATCAATTCATTACACCTAAATCATCACATGTCTTTCAACTTACAATACCTTTATTTCCTCCCGTTGCATTTCCTATTCAACTTTCATTATCTTGAGAGGGAATCATCCAGTTACACACAGCATGGGACCATATCTCTCCTGCTGCTAGATGGATGTACTGCAGTTCAAGAATGCACATTCCAAGTTATTGTGCTCAAGTAGCAGTGTTCAGGAAGTTTCCCTACTTTTATTCAACAGATTTTTGTTTTCAGCTGTCGAAAGGCCTGTAGCCTTTAGACTACACGAAGGATGCAGTAGGAAATTTAAACTCAGTGTGAGAGGTGCATAAAATCCTCTTAATGTAGTTAATACAGTCATGGAATCATATGAGTGATTCAGCTCATGTAATTTGTTTCAGGGCAATATATCTTTGGACTGGAAAATACAGGTGAGGCAGAAGGGAATGGATGTCCCAGTGGACACATATGCCAGACCTGTGTGGCTATCTTGGATAACCTGTAGCATCTCAAATGACATCACAAATTTAGGCTTAGGTAACTCAGTTGTGCCCCATAAAAGAAACACTGAACAAGTTAAATTGTTTTTGATGTCCATTGACTACATCTTCATTGTCATAACAGTTTATATATACATATATAGTTTTGCCTAAATACATACTTCATTTCAATCCAAATTTTAAGTTACTTTTCCTAATCCTTATACTTACTAATTACCACTTCAATTCATGGTAGACCTTTACTTTTTTTACTTTTTTTTTTTTTTTTGCATTTTAGGGTGGAGGAGTAGTTTTTGATTAAGCAGTTAGTTTTGATTTTTGCATTAACAGAGCTTCAATTTAAGAAGATCTCTGTGAAAACCCAAAAATCAAACATGCACTCTGCACACAAGAAAGCTGAAGGGGTCAAGGCAGTGAAATGCTGAAATACATGAAATATCTTCTCCATATACCAGCCCCAAGTGCAATCACCAAAGGACAGAAAAAGGCCTCCACAATTGTTTGCTTAACCATTTACAAGGATTTAACACTCGATCCTGTCACTATTTGGGCAGGTAACACTCAAGACACTGGAAAGCCTTACATTAGTTTTGCATAGTGGAGAGCTCTAACACATTTATGTGATATTTTTGCTACAATAAAGATGACAAGCAACCAGTGCAACAGGTACATTGTTCACTTTCTCTGTTTTGGAAGGTTGGAAGAAACTGGAAAGGCATTCCCCTGGAGATACTAGCCTTGGCAAGGCAAGAGGAAAAGGCCTGAATGGATACAAAGCAATATGATACATGAAAATGTTGCAGAAGTACAGGAGTGCCATAAGTAATACAGTGGTTGGTCAATCTTAACACCATACAAAAATACATGTTCTGAAGATACATGTTCTGAAGATCAGGACAAGGGCAGTGCTATGGATGTCATTTCATGAGACCACTCCTAAAAGCATGGTGGTTAACATTTAACTATAACACTCAACTTGAAAGAAAAAGTCCAACCACCGAACAGAATACAAGAGACATCATGAACTCAAACACAAAGTGGCATCTCAGGATAAATCTCAGATCAGTCAAAATCACAGGATAAAGGGCTCCTCATGTGACACAAGGAACAAAAGATGCAGTGACTCAAGGACAAAAATAAAACCACCAGATGTTTGAAACACTTCGCAGAATAGTTGCATGTGTGATTCTGAGAATGTGGATTCTGGAGCGTGGAAAGCTCAAAGCTAGCATGTGCTGACCATAATGTAAGCAGCAGGCCTAGATTCAGCAACAAAGCTCTAGAAAAATTAACTGATACCTATTTTGCTTTCACAGCACACGATTTGTGACTCAACACAACACTCTGTGAAAATTGTTTGGCCTTGCCTAGTTCTATAAAGCCAAAAAAGAGATGGGAAAAAGTGTCATGAACAGCAGAAAGTAAACTATTTGAATTGGGCATTTAAATGTTACCTATCTAGTAACAGATTTTTAGACCAATTAACTCTTTTTCTCTGATAGCAACCATGTGAAAGTTGCTACACTAATAAAAATCTCCAAAAGCAGCAATATGATAGTAACTCAAATGTCTACTTGAAATAAAAACAAACCTTCTGATTTTCTTCTATTTCATTTCGCATTTCCTTGTCTATGGTCACTCTTGTCAGTGATCTGTTAAAATAAAATATTTGTATCACTCAACCACCACATTTTCAAAATATCATTAAATAATGTGAAATAGGTATTTTAATAAAACATCCAATGCACTTTAATAAAACATCTGTAATTGAAGAATGCTGTAATTAAATCTTAAAAAGAAGAGTGATGCAGTGTCATAAATTTTGTATTTTCAAACCAAATATTGTTCCATATTACTCTAGTAAACCCAGGTTTCAAATTCAGACTAGGTTTTGTTGAAGTAATATAATCAACATATGTTTTACCACTCTCAATTTTTTCTCTTGTAGTTTTGGTGTTTTTTTTCTGGAAAATAACATGCATACAAAAAGTAAGCTGCTTGGTCATCTAAATTATTACCTAAATACAACCCATATTTGTATATTTTAAGTTACTGTTACTAACTTCATGCTACTCAACATTACAGCACAGACAGGTAAGGATTTGTCTGGATAAAGGCAAGGAAAACGCAAAGAATGACCACTTAAAATTAGGTGAGACTTAAAAAAGAGATTCACTGATTGAGACCCTTGAAAATGTTAAGCATTAACAGACAGTCAAAATTTTAATTTCCTTAGTCATTCTACCTTTCAAAGATAATGCATTGATTTGTCTTTTTTTACCTCTGAATGTTCTGGAAAACTATTTTATCTTCCTCTGCCACAGTGTATTGTATGTCAGGTTATCTTAAAATACTTCCAGAGGCAAATTAATCTTTCCATATTTTAAGAAAACCTAAACCTGACTGTCCTGATAAATGCCAAAAAAAATATGCTAGTTGCCTATACAAGCATTTTTTTTCAAAACAAGGTTGTACATGTTTTAGCAAATTGTATGGGGCTTCAAGAAAAACTGGAATCGTCTTAAACCTGAAAGTTAACCAAGCAAACTGAGAATGCTCCTATATGAAGCCAACTTCAATACTTATGGATAACAAAGCAGTTATTTAATAATATAAATCCTCACTTCCTCCCCAAAGAAACTGATTCAGAATAGATCTTGCTAGTATACTCCACATTGCTCACAATATGTCAGAAGTAAGACATAAAATCAGTTTATTTTAAACAACTATTCAAGCTTTCCAGACAATCAGAGAGACTACTTGTTAGGAGCAAACACTATGATTTCCAAGCTTGGTTTTAGAGAGTCCTGAATTAAATATATGTTAGGGAAAACAAAACCAGCTGATTTTTATCATGCTGAACTCAACATAAATAGTAGGTCCTTTAGCTCTCAGAAGTGATGCTTCATTCTGCACACACAGTTAAAAAAAATGCAGAGAAAAAGGACAACCATTTCCAAATGGCTCCTACTGTGAGTAGTTAGGCAGAAAAATAAAACATGAATGTGAAAAAAACGAAAAGCTGGAAAAGACAATACAAAGCCGGTCCAATCTTAGCAAGGAAGCAAAATACCTATCAGCAAAAGGTAAGCTTTACTGATAGTTTTGGTAACAGGAAAGCAACACCCTTAGGAATTATTAAATAGCTCCTTGTCTATGCATGGCAGTTGACAATGCAGGATTCTAGCAAGATTTTACGGAGAGGGTGTGATGGCTGGTCCTGGAAAAGAACACCCTACGAATCTGAGGTAACAGAAGTACCTGTGAAAGGCATCTGTTCATTTTGAATTCTGTCATTTGTTCGATTTGTTCAGAGCTTCACAAAGTTTTTATGCAAGTTTTTCTACTTCTAGCAAGTAAATGGATACTATTTATCTTTCTACATGATGAAGAAATGTTCTAATATGACCTTAAAGTTGAAATATTCTCTATCATATAATTTTGTGCATCTTTGTTCTTACCTGGACAAGTACATATATACATATATATAAATATATATATATATATATACATATACATAGTACTGAGTATTGAAGGAAAAAACGAAACCTTTCACATGGTCATAAAGTTAACATTCATGAATGATTAATAAATAGTAAGTAACAGAACATTATAATACTTCATTATCTGTTCTTTAAGAATGCAATAATATGACAAGTATACAACAAAACAAAGATGAAAAATACCCTATAAAATGAATTATCAAAATGTCGCCATGACATATATCAGTTGTTACACTGTCTACATCTGATGACATTTTGTAAAATCTACCTCAGACTAACCTTTTCAGCTGGAAATACTGAGACACAAAATGCAGGCTGTAAATTAGAAAGTGAAAGAAACTTTCAGAGGAATGGTACATTATTTTTTTTATGGTCTAACAGACTCCTCCATTTTTAAGGAACATATAATATTTAATTTTTATTTTCATAACTACAGTTCTAAAATTTTTATACAGCCTTTTCAAAGCATAATTTGCAAAATTAGAAATAGTTCTTTTCATATATAAACTGTCTGAAACTGAAACAATCTTAAAATACTATTAATATAATGATCAGTTATCTATCTAAAGTGATTAAGCAATATGTCTTCATGTCTTGTTTATTCTCATTTTTATTTTTCCAAATTAGTACTTTTGACTCATCAAGTTAAGCACGATTACCTTATTAATGAAATCTATTCTGTGCACTGTTTTTACACAATGCCCCTTGGATTTAAGTTTGTTGTCAATGCAGGCCTACTAAATTTAAATTATTTAAATATCTGTAATCTCTCACGTTAAAAATAACATGCTAGATTACCATGTTAGAATACATGATTCCTCTTTTAATAATTTTAAAGTCTTCTTATACTTTTACCCATAAAATGTTTGAGGAGTAGGTAAACTGTGCTCTCTAATGCCACAAATACATCCCATTTCAACTCCTGTCGCGTAACAATTTAATGACTTTTTAAATCAATTATTTAAATGTCACCTAGCATACTTCAAAATGACTTTTCCCTGTCCTTTAAAGAATGGAACTTGCCTTGAAGTTCAACATTATGTACACTTCCACTATCTCCTACTGGAAAGCTGAATTTTCTGATTGATAACCTGAACGTAAACTTATATCATACTACTTCATAATAATTATGCTTCAGGCATTTTAAAAGGCATTTTGCTTCCTTGAAACAAGATGTTACAATGGTAGCTTTTCCATTACAGTGTAGATTTTCTCTAACAGACAATCAGGGGTGACAATGAAACACTGTGATAATTAAACAAGAGTGGTAAAATGTGAAAGCACTCTGAGTTAAGAACCCTATTTAGCATCACATTTAATTCAGTATTCAAGCAAATATTGCTGATAGGATTACATGAAGAACTTACTAAGTATGAAGAAAAGCATTTCTCAATTATAATAAAATTGGCTTACAGGAAAAGTAATTTTTAATATTAGGACAGACAATATTGAGGCCACATCCATTTATTTAATATTTATCTTGATCTTCTATTAAGTAATCTCTTATGGAAGACAGATCTTCCCCAGTAAGAACGCTAACATACAGTAGCCAGGGCCCAATCTCCAAGCAATGTTGTGCTTAGAACTAATGTGTGTGGATCCCCCTGAAATTTATTAATACAATGTTGCCTCTTCCTACTGTGACTAGAATCTGCTAATTATTCAACAGAAATTTCCACCCCAGAAAATACCAATCCAGTAAAATCCATAAGGACTACGCATTCAACCATAAGAGCCTGAAGAATTAGCATGTCTTCATGGCATCCCCTGCATCAGATAGGAAACATTTAAGAGATCAATCATGAGCTCTCCCTGGAGTCATCTTCTACTCAAATTGCCTGGGATCTATCTAGCAAGCTGTCATACATGAATATCTGACTGCGGGATTTGGATATAAATCTGTATTACTGTCATTAAATTCAAATGCAAACATGAAAACAGTTTTTGAAAAACAAGTTTAAGTATCATACCTGGCTCTTATTGGGAAGTTCTGAGCAATGTCTTTCATTACCTTTAAAGCATCATAAACAGGGGCAGACATAACTCGAGCAGCTGCTTGAAAACTAAGATCTGGCATAGGGGGAAATAAAAAACAAGATCACTGGAAATATCACTCCCAATCATTACTGCCTACAATCAGAAAAGTGTTCTATATAAACACTCACTATTAACGTATTTTATGTTTCAATCAATGATTCAGCAAGAAGTAACATTATTAAGGTTGAAAAGATGGTCACTTGAAAGTTGGAATATCAAATTCAGGATTTTCTACAGAATTCTGCTTAACTTTCTTGAACATACACATTGTACGTGTAATTTCTAAATTTACAGAAACACACTGAAACAAACCCAGACCATTCATCACATGGTATTACGGTGTTATCACAAGGGTATCTCACACTCAAACCTAGATACAAACCAATCCATGGAAAACCAGAACTGCAGGAAAGAGTAAGATTTTTCCAGCTCCAGAACTTAACAAGATTTTCAGAGAACAGATATATTTAACATAGAAGGTTGCACTGAGCACGTGAATAGTACAGTTTTCAAAAGTAACAGCAATTTCACAGAAAGAAAACGGAGACTTGTGAAAGAAAGGTCAATCTGTCAAATATCAGGTTCTCCTAAGTGTCCAGCACAATTTTTAAAGGGATTTCATTTTTCTCTCTATGCTTTTTCTCAGAATGAAGTAAATTTTCAGATTTCAGAACAGTTTAAAATTCATTTGTCTATGCACTAAAAAAACAATGATGGAATTCAGTTAGCTGTCTCTGGCATCTAACTTGAGTGTGGCAAATTTTGGCACTTAAGAATTGGGAAACTCCAATTTTGGTACCGATGAGGTAAGACAATAATATACCAGGTGCTTCCATGTACCTTGGATACAGTCTGCTTAACTACCTCAGGGCAATAATGCTTCTTCCTCCTAATTTGCTAGTTAAGACACCTGAGCAGAAACTGAAAGCCTTGGATTATTGAGTTTGAGGAAAGCTGATGCCACATATTGTAAAAAGTGCTGGGCAGAAAATAATTGAGGATGCTGCCTACTAAAACTTTGCACCGACTTTTCAAAGTAATTAGGAATTAAAAAAAAAAAAGAAGGCTGAAGGAAAGTAAATAACATACACTCTTAGTTTAGCCTGATAAAGTATACCTTGGCTGCAAAGAAAGGTGAGAGGTGGAATGTTACCTTGGTATTTCTTAATACTTATAAAAAAAAAGTATAAAAAGAGATTGCTCTTTTAAAAAGTACGTTTCAGATCCCTTTCAACAGGCACATAACTTGTCATCAGGTGAAGCAACACCCAGTTGCTGCTGTTACTACAGATAGTGATGTCTTACCTGCGGTGAACTTAAGAGCACATGCTTAAAATCCTTCACAAATTGTTAGTAAATTCCATTTTATGCTGAACAGCTAGAGTATGAATATTCAAACTGAGGCCAACTGACATCTTTTGACATTCTTGGTTATCTCTGGTTGGGGCTGTCACTTACCGACCTACCCTTGCAGCACCTTGACACAGCTGAGAGTGCAGTGTAAGGCACCTTGGGGAAAATGTACTTACTAATTACTTATCTAAAATATAAAAGCTCTTGAAAGACAACTCTTGAATGGTGTTTAGGTTCATTTATAAATAGAAGTATGCCCTATAGCTGAAGTAGTTTTGCTTAAATTTAGTTAAATTTTTACTTGGAAGCTAATTAAAGGAAATCAGAGAGAAGCTGAGCCATTAATTCAGCCAGTATAATTAGTCATTAAGAATGAACTAAAGAAAGCACCCTGTCATGTCAGCAGTAAGAGTATCAAAACAAGAGCACCATAAAAATTGGGGCTGGAGACCCCCGTCTAAGAAGACCCTGAATAACAGTCACTACAACTAAACAAACAGCATCACAAAGCGTAACTACTTTCAACACTAAGAACTGGTTTCTTGGGGGTTAGCACCAATTTCATGTTTTCTTTATACAGCCATGACACCACAGAAAAGACCACCACTAAATAAAGACCTTGTGCTGGCTTTTGAATGTGTATGTTAAAGGGATCGAAGTTTCACTTCTTCTGCTTTAACATCAACTGAGTGGTATTCAATAATGTAAACAAAATTAAATAGTCAAAAAGAGTAGTTTCTATTTGCTTGCAAAGTAGGTTTCTCAGGAGAACTTAAAAGCAGTGTTTTTCAATTGTTTTTTATTCTGGACAAAGATAAATCCAGTAGTTGAAGTTCACACATAGAAGACTGCAAGTGAAATACAATTATCACAAATACCTAATATCAGACTGGACACTGCTAGCAAGCTCCATAACACCAGGGTCCCAAAAAGAAACTAAAGCTCAGCCTCCTTCACTGCAGTAGTATGAAGGCAAATCATTTTTGATCAGGTTGCCCTCTGAAATTGAAGAATGTAACAGGAAAAATTTTGTTGCCTAAACTTAAGTGTCATGACATTTTAGGGACCTGTATTAGAGTGGTTTATAATTTCATTCAAGCTACAGAATGTCCTGCAGGTCACCAACACAGAAGCTGTTGAGAAATCAACTTATACAGATTTGTTGATTTGTTCTCCTTTTCTTCAGGAAAGCTTTTAAAAGCATGTTCTTCCATTTGATGTTACATTAAAAAATGTATCAATGTGAACTCCAGGACACTGATAAAAGTTAGAATTTATGAATTAAACAAACTGTCTTTAACATGTATTTCATCCTGACACAAGAGTCATACCTTTTGCCTGACCTCTAAAAAAAAATCTGAAACTAAATTTAATACCCAAGATTGCACATCAGGAAAAAAAACAGGCATCTTATAAAATTACTTCTCTATCTTATAAAATTACTTCAATGTTTCTTTATTTTCTACATAGAAGATACCAACACATGCCTTTTAAATACTTAATGTAATACAGCCTTTTTATGAAACTGTGTCTCTTTTTAAAAGATGCTTTTATTGCGATGTTAATACATCAACATAACAAAGGAAAATTAAATAGAGTATTGTGTTAGTCCAGAAAAAAATACAATACATACCCTGTAGCTCCCAAACCTTCAGCGGTTCCATGTTGTTAGTAGTTTCAATTAGATGTTTTTTAAACTTTTTCAGGTTATTTTTCAGATCAGGATATATCTGTCTACAATAAAACATTATCCTTTTAACAAAGGCAGAATCAATTACATCCATCAATGTTTGCTTTCACCCACAATATTGCTCACAGCTAATACTGTATCTTTAGGGTAACAATCAAGAATGAAAACTTGAATTCATTCTTAAAAAAAAAAAAAGATTTGTGGTAAGAAAAGGTGATTACTGAAGACTAAAAATCAGTTAATTAGAGTCTTAAGAGTAGAATCATTTAGGTTGGAACAGACCTTGAAGATCATCAGAGCATCAAGTCTGACCATTAACCCAGCCCTGCCAAGTCCACTATTAAACCATGTTCCTCAGTGCCACATCTATCCAGGGATGGAGACTCAACCACTTCTCCAGGCAGCTTTTCCCAATGCCTAACAACCCTCTCCATGAGGAAATTCTTACTAGATATAAGGAGTTCAATTGTTTTGTAGTGATCTGCCTCAAAACCTGCCACATAAATTCTGATGGAATAAATGAACTCAAAGATTAAACAGTATCAACACACAATACAGGTAAACTGTGTAGTTTGTTTATTATAGCATAATGTAACTGTATATTAACTGTACTATACATTGACTGTAACTGTATGCAGAGTTTGTGGCATTACTTACAAAAGATAAAGGCAAGACAATGTTGAGAACATCTGTTATAAATTAACATTGCTGACAAAATCAAACTACTGAGCACACAAATCACTAGTCTGACCTGAAGAAGAGCATGGTACCCAAAAGCTTAGCTCTTTGTTTTGAAAAGATAATAGGGTAGTGTAAAGAAGTTCTGAGGGCAAACACTTCAGCCTGCTCCAAGATATCCTTGAACAATCTCCATTAGATTTCTAAAGATTTTATGTCTTCTGCTTCCATTCATAACTATTTCACAGCTGAGAAAACTATAATGTTTAGCATGGGTATACCTGAGGGACAATTTACAGACTGAAATATCTATTTCACCTCCTGTATGAAACAGAGAAGAGAAAAAAAAAAGAGTCTAGAGACAATGTCAAAAAGTCTGAAGAATTATCTGACAGCTTCACAAACCAGTCACAGTGCAACATCAAGAAACTAAGTATAGCTAAACCTATCAGAATCCAAGAAGAAAAAAGCTCAGATAAAGATATGACATAAGCATTTGGTATGACCTGCTGTGGAAGGTCTCTAATATCCAGGTGAAACAAGGGAGCCTGCAGATCTAGATGCACTTCTAACTCAATCTGTTTAAAAAAGGCAGGAAAGGGGATGGGCTCTCAAGAATTTAGACAGAATTAGATGCTCTGAACTCTGAGACTCACAGCTTAGTGACAATTATCTACAAACAAGTTTACTTTTTGCTTTCAGTGGTAAGAGACAGAATGACACCAGAGAAGACCCACAGTCTTGGTGTTTTTCCTGAATTAAAAACAATTCATGATTCTCTGCATGGATCTGTTACAGGAAAAGGGAAGCACTTTGGATGACTGAAACCACGAAATGTATCCACAACTGAGGACTGGAAGGAGCCCTCGATAGGGTAACATTCAATTTCATCTAACAGATTGCAACCTGGAGATAAGAGTTCCTGCCGGAACACAAATTCACCAACTCCACAATAAGATATCTATAATAAGCACATCTTCCACGAAATATCACTCCTATGAAATTAACTACTATCCTTCTTAAAAAGACCTTATGTAGCTACGGCACATGGATTTGTGTTCATTGTGCAACTATTTGCATTTTTAAAAAAACAACATTTTGATTCTAAGTATCTTACCAATATGAAAACATGGTGTTCTAAGTTTTTGTGACTGCTATCCAGACAGATTTTTTTTATTTTAAAAAGTTTACTGTATAGGTTCACAGAGAATTAGAAAACTACAAGGAATAAATTGGAATTCACAGAATAAACAACAGTTGCATCTTTACATTCAGAAGACATACCCCCCCCCAAAAATCAGTATTTTCACCCAATAAAAAAATTTCCAACATAAATCTTACGTTTTCTATTAAAAAAAAAAAATTAAAAAATTGGTTCAGGTTCCAGAAAAAAATGCAGACATTTAGTTAAAACTTGTATCAACTCACTTTAATTTGCCAAAGAGAAATCCCTGGACATCACTTTCCTCTTCCTCTTCCTCATCTTCCTCTTCTTTTGTCTCATTTGCTCCTGAACACATAGCACATGTAGACAACATAAGCCAAGAAAGTTACTGTTCTGTTATGTTCTTATGAATTATAAAGCAGTTAACAGAAACACACAATCAGAAAGTCGTCATTCCCAGATGTAATTTTAATTAGATTTATATTTACACATTTTGGCATCAGAATTAATTACTTTACAAAACTTCACAACATCCAAATTAATTTATAAATATGATTCATCCAATGGTAACATTTTTTATATAAATGAAATTGATATAGTTAAACAGTTCACTTCCCAAAACAGCCATTTCTCAGTTTTATTAAGTGATAAGATATAACTCTTATCAGCCAACTACTACCAAATTTATGCTTGAAAAGCCTGATGACTGTTAAGCGCATGAATCTCCAGCTGGAATTTGATCTAAGTCAGAGATCAGTTTCTTTACCTTTAAAAGGTTAAACTATTTTTTTACATGACTCAAAGGTTTTTAAACCTTAGTCTTACCAAAGAGAGTTAACTTTCATTATATCTTGTAAACGTCCATGCAAAGCAACTTCTCTGTGTCAACATGCTATAGCTACCACTTCCTGTGGTAAATGCCTCATTTCAACATGTAATATACACTGCTCCCAATGCTAGGACACATCACATCTTTCCTACAGGAGATTGTGAAAATATTTCCACATAAATTCAGAAAAAAAACCCTCACCCCTCAAACACTAATGGGTAGATACTGTAGTCACCAGCACATGAGAGATGCCAACAAATATGAAGTAACTGAAGGAGAAAGATTAAGCAATTTTAAACTTACTGAAAGAAGACTGGGTTATGTTTTGAAGATCCAGAGAAAACAACAATTAGAGCTTAGATAATAAACTGTATCCTAAGCACAGATCTTTATAAATGTTCTCATGTATTTTGATGTCTTAGTTCCTAATACCTGAGATTTCCTTCTGTAGAAAGAAATTAAGCATAGCCCTCAAAACATTAATGACTGAAGATTGTACAAACTGAAGATTCTAACACATTTCAATCGTATCTCCAATGAGATATCAATAAATTAAAAAAGCACATACCTTTAACCTGCGTGTCATCTACTGCTTTATATTCTGTACTCTTTATTGCAAGTTCCACACTATATCCAGATAAATACATTTTCCTGGGACCTGGTTTCTGCTTGACGATATTATTTTAACAGAAGAAAAAATATAAGTTAAAAAGGTATTCATAGGAGATTAACAATATATAATACTCAAGAAGGACTAGAACAGGAAGAGCTCATAGCACCGTATACAACTATCGATACTTCACAATTCACATTTTAAACTGCTATGAATTTCTTTCTAATGTTACCAGACCTTCAGCATGTTAGGAAGCAATTCTCTATTTTTGCATCAGATTGATTCTTTTAAAAAGTTTTGAGAAAACAGTTAATCAATTTCTGCAAGGCAGATTAAGACAACGTATTAAGAGTATCACTGCTAAAATCAAGTTGCCACTTTGTTAGAAACAAATAAGTACTTCTAACTTGGGAGTGGAAGTTTGAAATTCAATACTGTAATTACACAGAGAATATTTGTATCTGAAAATGTGCCCTAATTTGCCCCAAATGGAAATGCCCTTTCCAAAATGCAATTTGCACACGCACAGCAGTAATTTCTTAAAAGCCTTTCAGCTTTAGCTTGCAATTTCTAAGAATCATTCTGTACTGAGAATCCTCCAACCCACAAGTGAAAACCCAGTAGGGCTGGGGGTTTTCTCTGTCCATCCTCTAAGCAAATCTCAGTGCAGAGAGAGCACTGCACTCTGTAAATAGTCTAGCTGATACTGGCAAAAAAAAAAAGACAGCAGAGAGATCGTACCTCTTCTGTACTCAATGCTCCCTCTTCTGGCATTTAATGTAAAAAAGGAGGGAGGATCCGTCTCAGTGGGAACCAAAGAATAAAAATGGAGGTTGTGAGGAAGAAAGAAAAGGGGACAGAGATCTGAAGAGAGAAAAAGTGCAGGCAGGAAGACAACACATGTTTGGGGGGACCATGGTGCATAAGCCAGGCAGAACAATGAGACATTTAATATGCAAGTAGGCATTTAATTGAAATAAAAGAGCATAAAAGAACCAAGTTCGGTAAAAACTATAACCCACACAACTTACAATTCAAGACTGGCATCCTCAAATTCTCTATTTCATTACTATGAGCAAACAATTCAAAGTCATCTGCAAACTACGTAGCTCATCTCCCTGAAATGTCTGGTCTACATGAATCACAGCAAGCTCTCACTTCATCAGGTTATTCTCATATTTGTCACACTATTTAAGAGCTGTTCTTTGAATATAAATTATAAAAGCCTTCCAAAACCAAAACTGGGGACAATACAGTTCCATGTACTGGTATTTTATTTGCTTTGTTTCAGGGAGAAGAGTAAGTTAAGGAAAGAATTCAGAAACATTATGTTTCAAATACTGACACTGTGGAATGCAAACATCAAAAAACTAGTCAATGACACTGACCGTGACAGCCCACACTGCTGTACTACAATGCACATACGAGATCATATTGAGCATTTATAAGAACATAAGTATAATTAATAATGTTTCAACTTCATTTTCTATTCTGCTTTCCATTTTTCTAGTTCTTGCTATTATAATGTTCAGTCTGCTATACCAAAATTCACCCAAGATCTTTCTATGGTGTACTAAATCCAGACATTAAACCAAAAAAGAGGTATTTCAAGATCAATCAGTGATGCAAATAGCTCTTGCATGCAAGATTAGATAATATTATCATGCTTTCCCAGCTTCAAAATTTGTATTAAGTGAATCACTTCAGCTAGAAAGTTTTAAAATTAGAGCATATATTGCACATCATGTAGGTAAATGCAAAAATAAATGCAGAAAATGTGTTTTGTCAAAAAGCAAGCAAAACAAAGACAGAATACTAACAGTTTACTGAAAGATTGCTGATTTTAATTACATACCTGAACATAATGCCGGAGAACATAAACAATTTCCTCCTTTTGTGCCTTCTCAGATAAAATCTTGTGGAATTTGGCAAAGTCTTTTGTACCCATTTCTGCATACAGAACAACCACTGGGCCATCCTCTTTGACAGCTGGGAATTTATGGTCTCCTTTAAAAAGATATGGCCTGGGTCTGGTTTTAAAACAAATACTTGTGATATTACATAGTCAGAAAATAAATTAAAACAGTGGCAATTTTTCTACTTCATAATTGAAAAAAACAGTGAAGGCTTATATCCTAAAAGTATACAAGCCATGTTAAAAGCATCACAAAATAATCATGATTGCTCACAGATGAGCCTAGAACACCAAATTCACAAATTAAAATTATTTATAGTTGATGTTGACTTTTCAGTTTATTCTACTTTAATATATTTTATCAAATTACCACACAAAGCAAATGAAAAGCATAGCACTTGGAGATTTTGTTGCAATAATCAGTAACAGCTTGAAGCTTTTAATTTGAATGATTCATTACATCTATTAGAAATGTACAGAGCAATCAGCGAGTAACAGAGTAGCAGAGGGATATTTTGTGACATTTGAGAAAGCTGCTAACACACACGGACACTAACTGGGGTTATACTACTTTAACACCATCAAGCTCTCTTAATTTAGCTAATTTTGCAAATTTTGACTGCCTGCCTACCCTTCTCACTGAAAACCATGACTAGAAAAGTTATACTGCAATGATTTCTTAGATGACTAAAAACATCTTTTGAATAAAACATGGGAAAGATGGAGAAGTAACAGAGGATATCACTGAGCAATATATGCAAGGTGGTAATTATGGATGAGCACATTTCTTTTCAAAGCCTTTGCACAGCCACATTTGAAAGTTATGAAACTTTAATCCAAAACACAATAAATTTGTGTAGTAGACACTCACTGAAAAGTCATACTAGAAAGGTGTGAGCAGAACTCCATACACACCAGTTTCTGTGATGCAAAGCTTAGAAATATCTTCAATGTAAGAATCACACAATAACATGCACTACAAAGGACCTTTGGAGGTAATCTGCTGCAAATTCTCACTCAAAGCAGGGACAATTTGTATCAGGTTACTCAGGGTCTTAACATCAACGTCCTATGTAAGTTCTGTAGGTATGCAACTACAGACTTCATTTGTAAGGCAGAAATAAAAGGAGGGGCCAAGTTCGAGAATTAACTTCGGTGTGTGTGGCCATGTGTCACAGGAATATCAGGCAAGCTTTGCCACTGCTATCACTGGATGAGGCTGACCAAGCAGGTGTCACCTGGGAGTCTAAAACAACTCCTGAATGAGTAAGCTCCGTTCAAGAACTGACCCAGATCTGCCCCAGTGAAAGCATTATACACAGGATGTGGCTTGTGCAGCTTCCTTCTCATATCCAGAGAGACAAGAACTGTCACAGTCACTTTTAAGAGTGAAAACCCTAAAAGTTTCACTTTTCTTAACTAGCCTTAACCACCTTAACTAAGGTGGTTACCAAGTGCTGCCATGACCTTCCTGAACACTGACAGACTCAAAGAAAGCGTTTCATACGCTAATGAACATGCTTCACTAAAAAATTAAGTGCTGCAGTGAAATAACACTGCATAGAGCTACCCTAATGACCTTGGATAGGAGAATTAAGGTGTTCAACCCTTGTAAATCCAAGATAAGCCTCTGTTCTCTGTTTCTCTTCAACACTGTGCAAAGGAATTGATTCTCTTGCTCTTAGAGCTGAAAGCTAATTAATTTCCTGCCATAAGAGATTCTCATAAGAAGGCTGCCTGAAAAGCAAGGAAGAACAGCTGGGCTGACAAAAAAAAAAGATAAAAAAAATTACATGGATGTGGAGTTCAGCACTTGCTAATCAGTCACTAGGATAGTATAGGCAACTATATGCTTGCCTAGACAGTTGCCAGGACAGGATGCAGAAGGAACATGATAGCAGATGCATGTACTGACAAACCTAAGGCACTGACTGTTTTGAACAAAACGTGACTCCAATTAATGCTTCTTCTCTTAGCAGCAACATCCCCAGCGGTCTTAGTATTGTGTTTTAGACAGTTTGCAAGATAAGAAATCCCATTTAACCACATGTCCTTCGACAGAGCCCTTGAGCAGCCACTGCACTTTCACACAAAACACTCCCTATTAGAGCCGAGCAGTCCATTGCAACACAGCTGAAAGTGTAACAGGCAAAATCACAGTAGCTGCTACATAAAGGACTGCGTGAAGCAAAACCCTGACTTTGATAGGCAGAATATTTGGGCTCTCCTGGATCCAAAGAGCCTGAGACTTCCTGAATCTTGAGTTGAGTTGATGGATCCACCCACATAAAACTATGCTGCAGTCTCTTCTTCTCTTCCAGAGACATTTGAAGCTATCAATCCAATATATAACTGGATATTGATATATTGATATCAAATTAGAATATTTCTAGTGTCCTCATCCAAATGTGAACTTTAGGACACAACTGAAAGCATAGCTTAAACTGGCCCAGCTTAAGTAGAAGAGTCATGACAGACAGAAAATGAAACACAACAGAAAATAGTTTGAAATACAAAGAAATCAATAAATCATAATGATCTCTCTTCATACAGGATAGATAAAAAGAATGACTGGTTTAGAGGAACCAACAGCAAGATGGCATACTGTCTTATATATCATTTGTTCACCATATAGAAAAGAAAGAACAGGAGCACAGCCTTATCTCTATCACCTAGGCTAAACATGTCCTGCAGAAGTGAAAAACATCTGCTAAGCAGAGTACAAATGAAAATAATAGTGGAAACGATTACCTGAATATGTGAAGGTGAATGTGTTTTTCTCAAAGTCTAGGTCCAGGAACTCTAAATATTTGAGTGACACAACTACTTTTGGGGTGGAGAGGAGATGAAATTTATCAAGATTTTGTCCCTGCAACTCTAAAGGTTGTAATGTGACTGGTGCATGCAAAACTACCAAAAATACAAGACCAATCAATCAGAAAAAAACTTCAATTTTGTTGCACATTCCTAAAGTTAATGATTTCCAGAAGTCTAACTCTCTCACTTCTGAATAATTTGGGATTCTATTGTTTAGTACTGTGATTTTCCAGAATCTTGTAAATTTGGGAATAGTATCTCCAGAATGGAGAATGTGCTGAATCCAGTTAACTGCTTTAAAAGATAATTATATTCAGACACTGTAATAAAATGTTAAGGTCTTACGATGCTTTAATGTATGATCACATTTGTACTATATTTTGGCTTTTATCTAAGAAAGTAAGAGACATTTGTTAGTAGACCATAATAGTTAAAAATGGGACATAGTAAAATAGACAATTGACTGTTTTTTCAAAAACCCTGGCTATTGAATAAGTAAAAGACAATGATTTAGTAGGTTGTAATTGAATCAATAGACTTAGAATATACCATAAATCACATATGGGGAAGACAAAATTGTTCTCAGAAGCAACTAACCACAAAGAGACAAGTTTACAGGTTTTCATTTTTTTTCCCCACAATTTATATTTGACAGAAAGCAAAATCCAAGAAATATACCCTACTAAATCATCTTTCAGTTCTGCCTATCTTCATGAAGTGGCTGAGGGTATGGGCACTAATGTATATTATGGTCACCTTGGCCACTGCAGGAAAAAAAACTCAAAGAAAAAAATGTTATACACAGGTCTTGAAAAAACACAAATTAATTTTTTTTTTAAACAGAGATTAAATATTATGCTTTCATTATTTTGTTACTGTTATTTTAATAGGTTCTGCATATTTTAGTTCACAGGTCAAATTAATTCTGGGCTGATGCCCAGACTCCAGAAAGGCTTGATAAGTGCAAAGTCTAGCACAAGGTGAGGAAAGGTTATGCCAGCTGAGGCAGACTTCTCTTCCACTCCTGTGCCAAGCCCTTGCAATCTAGAAAACCTCAAGTGCAGTGGCACTGACGACGTAGAAAGGTCTGTCAGGAGAGTACTGTCTCAGGCACATGAAACTGTAAGTTTGTACAGAAAGTACACAGTAACTTAAACTTGACTATTCCGTATAAAAAAAACCCCAAAAACCCTGAAGAAATACAAAATTATCCATGTGATCAGATGAGCAAAGCTCTATGATTTTATTTTAAAACCCTACTTCAATTCATAATTGATGAATTCTCTTAACATGAAGTGTTTAAAGTATTTCAAAATCAAAAGTAAGTCTTTTAAAATAACATATACTTTAAAAGGGTATGACTTTAAAGATCTAGTAAACTGGGCTTTATGAGCTTGGCATAAAATTTCAAAGTACTATGACTTTACATGCAATAATACATTTTCCTCTTTAGTAACCTATTTTTCCTCTTAAATCACTACATTTACCTCTTAGTAGCCTTCTTCAGCAGCTTTTTTATTTCATTAGTCTTACAGGTGTGCTTCTCATGGATAACCACAAATGCACTGCAGCCTTCTGGTGGAGGTTCATCAGCTGCAATCTAATATTTCAACAATTACACTCAACCAGAACACTTTGATTGCACTTCAACTTAAACTCACATCCCTTTGATTAAAATAACTCAACAGCTGCCATTAAGTTGTGTTTCCAATTAAGCCCATTCAAAATTGGGTACACGTAAAAAAAAAAAAAAGAAAAATATTAGAAGATTAAGACCTTATAACCTTTGTGAGATGTAGTCTATCAAATAGAGTCATACTGCAGAAAATACAAGTCTATTTATGTTCTGTAAAGACAGGGCTGAGGAATCTTCTCCACTGGCTGAAATCACAGCCTGTACTCTGAGACATTTTTAATTTTAGTTGCTATCCGCAATCATGTTAATGTACAAAGATTAAATTTCTAAACCAATAAATCCCAAATAATTGATGTAAATTTTTGGTTTTCTCTCCTTCTCACCCCCTGCTTTTTTTTTTAACTCTGTTCAGCTATGTAAAGTGGGAATCATATGACTGCATGCCAATGAATCCAGATTCACACGCTGCAAAATAAAAGTCAAAAGACATGAGTCTGAGATGATGATATTCCTCTAAAGAACACTTGCAAAACCCCCTAACTTTATTATAGCTTATTACCTTTCAGAAAAATGGATTTCTTACTTTATCATGAAGATGGTATTGCTGAAAGGAGGAGGAGCAGTTTTAGGCTTAGAAGCAGAGTGAATTTATGCCCTCCCACTCTTTTGTTAATAAAGCAGGTACTTATTTACCTTATTTTTCAACTTTTCAAATACAAAAATCACAACAGATGAGAAATCCACTACATAATAGATATAAATTACTTGAAGCTACAGGAAATGTCCTAATTTGGGTATGTCTGAATTCCTGTAGGATTATTTAAAGCAATGCAAAAAATCCCCACAACTCGAGTTTTATAAAGTGATCAACTGCAAAAAATTGTACCCTGCAAGTAATGCTATCAATACAATTGAACATCAATATTTATTCCTGTCAGTATAACCAGCTTATAAAACACCACCTCTGTGAACGGACCATGTTTGATTCCAAATAATATCGGCATACATTTTATTGAACTGTAACAATGAACATTCTCTACTCTGTAACCAAAATACCACATTTAATCATGTATCAAATACATCAGATAATACAGTCACCTGCTGAAACATCTGAACAGTTGGAGAATAAGCCCGTATGGAAAGTGCAAACTTCAACAGATTGATTTGCAAATTGGATAAAAATTGTCCTGCTTTTTTCAAGATTAAATTGTAATAGGAATACTCTGAATCTGTTGAAGAAAAAAAAAAGAAGACAAACTTTTAGTATTTAGCCACAAATGATGTGGTATATCTACCCACACTACATAATAGGCAAACATTAATGCTAGCGCTGCTTGGCAGTTCAAAAATCTTGAATATTGTCCACTGACAATTGCTTACTTTACTACCAATCTAAAGGTCTCATACAGCACAAATAGAAGAAAAGAGAGCTCAATAGCACTAGTTAATATCTCAAATATTTTCAGCAATATATAAATCCACTCAATACAATAATGTCTCTTCTAAGATACATACGGAAAGCCCTGAACAGAATTTATTCCCTCATTTCTGTTTGTCAAGATTATGCCACCCTTTTAACAAAAATGTTCAAGGTTACTTACTTTCAACCAGCATTATTTTACAAATAATTTCCTCGCATTTAGCCTTGAAACACTCCAACAATGCAGCTTACATAAATAAAATTCTTTGGGCTACTCTCACATAATCTGTTTCTCCCCTAAAAATACGTGATAAACAAGAGTGTGAGAATGGATGTAACAGGTGAAGTACTTCCCTTCTCCCTGCATACCTTGTGTTTTCAAGGACAAGATCAGGACTCTAAGTAAGAAGATAGGTGGATGGTGTCCAGGAATGACAGAAGTGATAATACAGAACATTGGTTGGAAAAAATTAGCCGTCTTTTCTCATTCTAGAGGCATATTCAATTTTCATAACTAAGTACCTCCTATCCTCTCATTTTCCTTTTACAACCCTGTTGTGGTTGTCAAAAAATATTCTTTTGCTCTAAAGCCTCTAGTATCTCCTTTCTGCCTCCTTCTTCTTAAAACTCATTATTTAGAAAGGCTGAGTTTGCTGTAATTCACTAGGAAAAACCTAAGATTATAAAAGTATATAATCTGCATTTTAAGAAAGCTCCTTCCCATAAATTTTATATGCCTGGTTTCAGCTGGGATAGAGTTAATTTTCTTCCTAGTAGCTGGTACAGGGCTGTGTTTTGGATTCAATATGAGAATAACATGGATAACACACTAGTGTTTTAGTTGTGGCCAAGTAGTGCTTACCCTACGCAAGGACTTTTCAGTTTCCCATGCTCTGCCAGCGAGGAGGTGCACAAGAAGCCAGAAGTGGGCATGGCCAGGAGAGGCTGACCCTAGCTGCCCAAAGGGCTATTCCATACCATAAAATGTCATGCTCCGTTTATAAACTGAGGGGACTTGGCCAGGAGCAGTGATCCTTGCTCAGGGATGGGCTGGACATAGGTTAGTGGGTGGTGAGCAACTATACTGTGCATCACTTGGCACAAGTTTTGTTCCTCTTTCCTCTTTTTCCTATTATTATTATTATATTTTACTTTATTTCTATTATTAAACTGTTCTTATCTCAACTCACAGGTTTCACCTTTCCCAACTCTCTTCCTTGTCTCACTGAAGGGACACAGAGAGCAGGCATGTGGTACTTCATCGCTGCCTGGAGTTAAACCACGACATACGATTATTACTGTCTTACATTAAATTCAAAGGATGAAAAACCCATCTCTTCTATGTTTTCTATACCTACACGTAGCCCTGGCAGAACTCAAATAGCAACAAAGCTGGTGAAGGCTCTAGAGTGCACGTCCTGCGAGGACCAGTTGGTAGTGTTGGGCTGTTTAGCCTGGAGAAAAGGAAATTCAGGGATGACCTCATCACTCTCTACAACTACATCAAAGGAGGATGTAGCCAGGTGGGGATTGGCCTCTTCTCCCAGGCAACCAGCAACAAGACAAAAGGAAATGGCCTCAAGCTATGCCAGGGGAGGTTCATGCTAGACATCAGGAAGAATTTCTTCACTGGGTGGTTAAGCACTGGAATGAGCTGCCCGGGAAGGTGGTAGAGTCACTATCCCTGAAGGTGTTCAAGAAATAACTGGATGTGGCACTTGGTGCTATGGTTGAGTTGGCAGAGTGGTGATCAGTCAAAGGTTGGACTCGATCTTGGAGGCCTTTTCCAACCTTAATGATTCTTTGATTCTAAATGAGATAAATTTGGCTTCACACATTCAAAACAATGAATGTAAAAATTTGCAAGGGGCAAACCCTTCCAGATTGAAACGTTTTTTCAATAACTATATTTTCAAATTTTCTTCAAAGTATCTCCACAAAAATAAAAGTGAAATCCAAAATTTTTGCCTCTCCACTCAGCCCCAAATAACATCCTATTGAAGACAATGAAGAGCTATTAAATAGACAATTCTAATGATACCTCCTCAATAAAGTATTTTTACCTAGTCTTTAAATTCTTTGGCTTACAAATTCCAGCTGTGCTTTCACTGCTGTATTTAAAACAGCTTTTTTTTTCTGGAAGATGATTATCATAATGATTTTAATAAGTTAAAAAAAAGATAGTTATGTGCCTTCAAAAATGATTGTATAACATTGACAAGGATACATTTACCAGATCATGCATCCACTCCTACTACTTCAACTTCTATTAATGCTGCTGGCTTCATTCAGAATACAACTGTACTTTAAACTTCAGCAAGACAAATTAAAGCACATGAAATGCTACATGATCCACATAATGCAAAAACAATTTTTAAAGTTTATTACATACACAGAATCACACAGAATATTCTGAGTTGGAAGGGACTCACAAGGATCATCGAGTCCACCTCTTAAGTGAATGACCCATACAGGAATTGAACCCTGACCTTGATGTTATTAGTACCATGCTCTAACCAACTGAGCCAATCTCAGTTAATGAGAACTATGGTTTCCGTTTTGCAAATTATTTTCACGTAGTATTGGATCCTTGAAACTTGATCATTACTTGCCCTCCAAGCTCCTTTTAACACTGTACTCTATGCCAGAGAGTAGAAGACAGAATAAATCTCTTAAGATGTTACAGGGAATCACAAAGTACCAGGTTTTTTTGGTTATAAAATCCTGCATGATAGCATATTACCAATAAATCATTAATGAAGTGGATTTAAAAATAAATGAGAACACATTAACAGGATACAACTCCAGATTTCAGACATCTGAATGCACATGTATGAGCTACGTATCTATAAAATTTCATTCCAGCCACGAGAGATAAAGCCAACAAAACCTCAAAAGCTATTTAGCTCACTCTAAAGATGCCTTAATTTGTCATCTGAATAGCTCTCTCAACTCCTGTAGCCAAATTGATTGACTACAGCAAGAACTGAATAGCTAGCTAAGCAGACCCACATTTAAATGTTGAATATTACTACCCACAATCTACAGCAGTATTTCATCACAGGTAAGTTAATAATAATTTAAAACAGACAACCAGGGCAGTACCAAAAGGAAAGGAAAAGTTTACACCACAGCTCCTCAGACCTCATGCACACAGAGCACAAAATTAAGCAGAATATGCTGGTGACCCATGTGAGAATTCAAACTACTGAGGCACAGGAGGTAGACAGAGTAAACCTAAGGGATGTAATCAATCAGAAAAACCACAGCATGCTGGGATCGTTATTTTGATGGATAGAATATGGTGGTTGTTCCAACTGCATAGATGTGTATATCTGTATCCATAGATCAGCTAGGGAATTAGAGATGCCAGGTAATGGCAGTTCAGGCAATCACTGGCCAGTCAAATCTCTATGACATTTAAAATGCCTGTAGAGAGGGAATACTTTGTTTTATTGCATGATTAGCATACAAGTGCTATGCTTGTGAAAATGATTCCTCTAGAATCTTTAAGGTTGATACGCACATAAAAATATTTATCTAATTTAGTGATATGTGAATAATGTGTAGTCTTCTAGATTACAACAAATAATTTGTAGGACTGTTGCTTATATGTAATATACTGCTACATTTTTTTCAGAGAAAGTTTCCCTAGAGAAAATATGTTTGTTTGTTGCTTTTGTTTTGGTCTGTAATATATATTTATGCTGAAAATTCAATATATAAAAAGCACTTGGGAAATCAGTAAACACTCAAGTGATAATTAGTCGGCAGGGAACTGGCTACTTACCTTCACTCTGTATTCATAAATTAACCTTTAGAGATATAAAAGCAGCAGCAAGTTTAAAATGACACATTTAGTGTTCAGTAACTGCTGGTTTTAATATGAAATTTTTGTAGCTTTGATTTCTTTATAACATACCTGCAGCCCAAAATACCACCATCTGCATTTCTAAGTATTTCACAAGCCTGGCAGAAACTATGTTGCATATTAAGAGGACATAAACAAGCTGTCCATGCTACCTGAAGACCTCACTCTAATTTAATACAGTGTATCCCATCGCTAACCTTCGTTACTGATGTTTTCCATAGGGTATAATCAAAATGATGCCCGAGTTGATTCGAGTTCATATTAAAAAAAAAATGTTAAAACCATCAAATGCATCACCAGACTAAATGCTTTACCAAATTCCATTTATGTAATTCCTACCAAATCTTTTACATTGCTACATATATCATAGCTAAAGAGACCATTAATAGACATAATTTGCTGAGGCTGAATATTTTAAATGAACAAATTAACAACAGATGTTCATTTGATTATTCTAAATTTAAAACTACAAGTTCTGAGAACTGATAAAAAGACCAGATTGAAAATCATCCAAGGAATTATTTAAAAGAAAAAAGCCACCATATTCAGTTTTTTAAGTTGCCTTTTAGCTTTAATACTTCATGACTCTTCTAAAGTTCAACAGTATGCTGGGATATAAATCTATCATCCGATTCTTCTATAAACCCAGATTTTCAGCTTCAAATATAGTAATTCTTCACCTTTTATGAAAATGTTTCTACTTTAAAAACCAATGTTTTTATTTCCTGCTTATTCATCCTATCTGGTCTCAGTATCACCCAGAGAAGAACTGAAAAGGCCATCAGGCCAACCAACTCTTTTTAAGCCAGATCCTTTTATCTGCTCAGGTAGTTGTTGTTACATCAGCTATAATGCATCATGAACATCCCCCTACGTCAATGTGTCCTGACACGCAACAGCTAAGGCAGAACCCATTCCATACCACATAGAGAACACCTCCTCAGAGGTGAACCACTACACATCTCTCAGTAACTGTGCCACTCCAGTATTGCAGTACCAGATTCTTCACTCAAGCTGATCATTTTATTGTAAACCTACTGTAGAATTCTCTACTAAAAATGACTTAACTATTGCTGCATATATATGATGCTCATATTATTTCCACTTTATACTTTGCATGTTGACTTTCAGTAAGACAGTCTTAAGTTGGAAGAATCAATATTGATGTGATTTAGTCATTAAGTAACCACTTTGCTTTTCTCTAAAACTGAATCTTTCCTTCACATCCTGTTCATGAAGAGCATTGGTTTGCTTATATAAGACTACTCCAACTACAAACTGACTTTTAGGAAAGCCACTGGGTGCCAGAACTTCAAATTTTTCTGCATTATCAACACAGATGTGTGTTGGCCATAGTGATAAATATACACATCAATTCCTCAATATGCTTAATTAAAGTAATATTTTAGTACATCTCAAGATTCCCCACCACCAGCATCTAACACTTCACTGGCATGACTGGTCATGGAGATCATCCTATTGGTAATTTATTTATTCTTAATCACAGTTTATCCACGTGGAGTAGGTATTTAATTAACAGCTGATTTCAACAGACACCTGTGTCACAAACAATAAACATCACTAAAATTTCAAATTCCTTGGGAAGTGTGTCCAAGCAAGCAGAAAAGAGATGGCTGATAAAAAAACTCTGACAGATCATCTAATACAGCAGTCTTGTCTCAAAGCAATAATAACTGCATCTAAACCACTCATAGAAAAAAAAAAATAATTCAAGTCAAAAGTGATTTCTGGAGGTCACCTCATCCAAACTGTTACTTAGAGATCTAATTCAAGGCTTGATTAGGCTGCTCAAGGCCTCATGCAGCAGAGTTTTGAGTACCTCCAAGAATGTAGATTCTGCAGCCTCCTGGGGCAGGCTGTTCCAGTGCCTACCCGACCCTATGGCAGAAATATTTTCTGCCAAATTTCATGTTGCAACTTGTGCCCTTTGCTTTTTCTTCATACTGCTGTGTACCTTCAGGAAGGGTTTAGTTCCATCTTCCCTACACAATTCTATTAGAAAGCTGGAGATATGAGGTCTCTCCTTACTGTTCTCTTTCTCAGGTTCAATAAAACCCAGTTCTCTCAGCCTTTTCTCAGGAGTCTGCTCCAGCTCCCTAATCCTTCTGGGGATCCACTCCTATACTTCCTCCAATACTGAACTCTTGACTTTTAAAAGGGACCCCCAACCTGGGCCCAGTATTCCAGACACATTTACAAGTGCCCCATACAGCGGTCATTTTCCTTGACCTGCGGGCTACACTCTTGCTGCGGCAGCCTGGCATGTAGTTAGTCTTCTCAGGCATAATATAATGCAACTGTTTACAAGGATCCCCAAGTCTGTTTCTCAAAGAAACTGCTTTTTGAGAGTAAGTGCCAAGATTACACTGTTGCCGAGTCTGTAAAGTGCCTTTGCTGAATTTCCCGATGTTTCTGTTCTCCTCTCTCTCCAGCTTGTAAAGGCCCCCCTAATGACACAGCCTTTTCTTTCAGCTTCTCAATTTCTCCCACTGCTGAGCACTCAAAGACCATTTTCACATTGATACCACAAATTTTTAACTTTTATTCAGTCGGTCACAATTGTTGAAACACATTGTTTCTCAAGTTCTCTCTCCCCTATACAGCATTTTTCATGTACCTTCATTTCTCACTGCCATTTTCTACATGATCTTTCTGCAATTTGTTAGCTTTTAACTACTGATTTAACATTCAATTTCCCTGAAGTCTCTTCCACAAGTGGTGTTAGGTCCTCACACTCATGTCTGAAGTGTTGTACTATTCTGAAGTAAAGAGTAAAATGAAGCAGCCTTATCTTGTTTTTACACTTTTTTTCACCTTGTTCATCTGTTGACCTACCAAGCAGGTCTAATACTGACCAACCTGGTGTAAAGCCACCGGTAGGTTTCTCGATTTTTCATTACCATGGACATTTCTAGTAAACTGCTCTCCAAGGTATCTTCTCAGCTGGCTTTTTATGCTTCTTTTATGCTTTGTTCTTCTCTCCAAATTTTTAACAATATTCATTTGTCTAATCATGCAAGGTATTTTTAATCCTATTTTGTCAGTGATAAAACTGTATTCTAAAACACCTGTATTGATGCTAGAAAACAGTCTCTATACCATCTACAAGTATTACACCTTTTCTGGTAACTCTTTTAATTTTTTCCTTTAGTTATTTGTGGGATTCTCTCCCCTACAAGCATCCACCTTAGAGAAAACAGGAAGTCTCAATATCCTATAAGCTCTTGCTGAGTCACATACTCAGATAGGTATCTTTAATCTTTACACTTCTGTTCCATATTGTAAGTTTAGTTCATCTTGTGTTCTTTTTTTTTTTTTAACTCCTCTACAAGTATTGTTCTCAAGGATATGCTACAACTCTCTGAAAAAAAACTATCTAATAAGCAATAATGGAAGAGTTAGGCTTGACCTGCCTGGAACCAGTTAATGTGTTCTGTCTCAAAATTAAATACAGTGCAAGATAATGTATTAAAAACTAGCATGTTGTTTAACTTACCTCCTTGCTTATAAACTGTTAATTCCCGTACAGTTTCCAAGAACTGCCAAAACTTCTCATTACCATCCTCTGCAATGAATTCACTGTTCAAAAATAAAAATGAATTGTCTACAGGTTGACTTCGTCCAAAGATGTAACACAGTAAAAACCTTCAGTTGTTTAAAATAATAAATATCCAGCAGCAACCAAGTGTTACATATTCAATGACCTTCTAATATCTCTGTAGCATAAAACACTGAACAGAGGTGTACTTTGATTAAAAGAGATTTTGAACAAAGTACTACCATCCAAAGTCAACAATGAGAGCTGTAAAACAGGTAGACTATTCTCTTGATACAGAAAACCCCCAAATTTTTCACTTTATTTTTCCACAGCTATTCCAATACACAGTTATAAATAAAATCACTTCACTAAGCAAGCTTTATTTAATAGTGGTTAAATACATGAATAAGAACATATACTCTGTCAGGTTATAGTTTTTCATTACATTACAGGCTTCCATCAATGGCAATGTCTACTTTGCTTTGCAGGGGGGAGATCATCAATTTCTGAAATGGCTTAATTCTTACAAAGCATAAAAGATAAAGTTTGCTCTATTCCAAATACCATTCTTTCATTTTTTAATTTCAAACTGAAAGAGGTGAAATTTAGGTGAGATACACTGAAGAAATTCTTTATTCTTAGGGCAGTAAGGCACTGGAACAAGTTACCCAGAGAAGCTGAGGATGCCCCATTCCTGGAAGTATTTAAGGCCAGCTTGGATGGGGCTTCGAGCAACCTGGTCTAGTGAAAGGTGTTCCTGCCCACGGCAGGGAGGCTGGAACTAAATGATCTTTATCTGAAGGTCCCTTCCAACCCAAACCATTCTGTGATTCTACAGTTTACTGGTAACGCTTTTTAAGTTTTTTTCCTTAAGGTAACATCAGTTGCTTATTTTCCCTCTGCTTATGTCTGCCAAAAACTTCCACTTGGTAGCATGACTGAATTGTTTTCTAATCTTTACTTTGGAAGTTTGCCCCTCCTTTGATTACAGAAGCTTGCAGCTCTCCCTTTCATGGGAGTTCTCTGAACAGCAGCAAATAAGTTTAAAACCAAAACAAATTTAAGGCAAACAGGCAGGGAAGTCTCAAACACATAAAACTGGAAAACATTTTCACTTCCTATTGTAAATCACAGAACGATTTGGGTTTGGAAGGGACCTTAAAGATCATCTAGTTCCAGCCCCGCTGCTGTGGGCCTTCCGCTAGACCAGGCTGCTCAAAGCCCCATCCAGCCTGGCCTTGAACACTTCCGAGGATGAAGCATCCACAGCCTCTCTGGACGACCTGTTTCAATGCCTCACAGTAAAGAATTTCTTGCTTCTATGTAATCTAAACACACCCTCTTTCAGTTTGAATTCATTATCCTTTGTTGTGTCAACTTCTAAAAAGTTCCTCTCCATCTTTCCTGTAGGTCCCCTTCAGGTACTGGAAGGCCACAATTAGTTCACCCTGAACCCTTCTCTTCTCCAGGCTGAAACTATTATTACAAGTTAACAATATCTTTTTTAAAAAAAAATGTTTTACTACTACAGCTTCACATGTTCACAATACCTTTAAAATCATTTAATGAAGGGTGAGATAGAAGAGATCCTGTTACTCAGTGGAAGACAGTGATTGTGTACATTGGCTCATTACATTTCCTCAACCTAAAGACCTGCAAAACGTCTGAGCAGGCTACAAACGAAGCCGCTTGCACAGCGCACTCGAAGCGTGGGACTCTGCCCGCACCATCCGCACCGTTTCACGAGGGGAGAAAGCAGTTCAGCCTTACACCCAAGGAGTACTGTAACACACCCTCCGACTGGGAGAAACGCGGCCATCCCCCTCTGACAGCCGGCCTTCCCGCTCAGCGGAGGGAAAAGGGGGTCCCTCCCTCGTCCTGCCCCCCAGGAGACAGCAGGGCAGGAACCGCAGCTGGGAGGAAGAGGAGGAGGAGAAGGAGGAGGAGGCTGCACGCACCTCGCCTCCA